AGTGCAGGAGTGAGTTTGAACACTTTCTCAGACTTTGAAGAAACCCACTGCAGTGCAACGTCTCCTTCTGTCGTCCTCTCTGACCGTCTGCCGCCCTGTTGACTTTGCAGCCTCCTGACATCCTGCACCGTTTCTCAAACCCAACCCTCCATTTCTCCCCTTCTTCTTTCTGCTTTTCTTCCTTTTGAAAATCCCACATGCTCTGGTTTGTTTATTTTCATCACTTTCATCGCTCTTGCTCTTTTTCCCTCACTTTTCTTAGTTTTTTTGTGACTTTCCTCCTGACGATGGAGAAGTGGTTTTTGACAGTTTATGCACAACAAAAGGAAGTGTGCCTCATCTGCATGGCAGCTGGGGGAGATAAACGGAGAGGTGGAGGAGCAATGAGGTTTTTGAGATGGATTCGAAACACAAAAAGAAAGAGAGAGAGAGGAGCAGGGCAAAGGAGTCTGTTGATCAAATGAGGATAAGGACATGTAGGTCACCCCTCCCTCCCTCCAGTCTAAACAAATCAGGGGGAAATGTCTTGAAACTAAATAAAAGGATCAGAGTAGTTGTAATGTTCATGAACATGCTGTTTACATTTTCTCCGCAGACGAGCAGCTGTGAACATGACGGCAGTTTGAGTATAAGACGGAGAAATCTTTTCTAGCCTCATTTGGTTTTTCTACAGGCCTCTGAAGGATCATCTCAGTGTCGCCATCCTCTCTCCTCCTCGTGTTCCACCCCTGCTCTGTCCTTCCCTCACTCCTCTTCCTCTCTTCACTTCTCTGTGTTTCTCTGCCAGGAAAAGTAAATCACGGCATAACTTTCTGTCTGGATCTCATTTTGGCTCAAATATGTTTGAGTCTGAGGTCCGCAGCTGCTCCTTGCCTTGCACATTTTTTTATTTTTTTTTAATGATGCAAAATGAAACCAGGCTGTACCTCCCTCCCTCCTTCTCTCTCTCCTCTGCCTCTCAACACTCAGAAGAACTGCACACATCACCTAAAACCAGACTGGCTAATTATTTCTCCCTGCCCTGCAAATGTGTTCAGCATTTTTCTTACTGACAGGAAATTTCATCACATAGAAAAAACAACATGAAACAGTGTGAGAGGTGTTAGAGGATATATGGCATCACCAGTGGTGAAGGAAGTACTCAAATATTCTACTTAGTAAATTAAGAAAGTAAAAGTACAAATAGATAGACAAATGTTTAATCAAGTCAAAGCAAAAGTACCACTTATTTTTGTATTTGAGTAAAATAAATATATTTACAGTCTTAAAAGTAGTGTGGCCTAGTCCCTCTCTGCTGCTGCAGGTGCACTTTGCTCTCACTGACAGAGGCAGGGTCTCATTTTACCTCTCCACTCATCTTGTTATTGAGTACTTAAAAAAAAATATAAAAAACAATGTGAACATGTAACAATGCATTTTAAAGAGTAGAGTAAAAAGTGATGTATGTAGCAGAGTAAAAATGAAAAGTACAGAAAATAAATCAGATACACAAAGTACAGTAACGTAGTAAATGTATCCCACCACTGAGGATCACACACAAACACACACACACAAATAAATAAAAAAATACTTTTTTTGAGTTTGGAGAGAAATATCCATCAACAAGGAAATGTTTGTCCCTACAGCAATAGTAATATTCCATCACTGCAAAAACACATTCAATTGCTGAACACCCCACAAAAACAAAACCGAGATTAAATTTGGCATAAACGGAAGTTTGAGTAAATGTTTTGTCGATAACAAACTGATATCAGAAATGTATTTATTTAATACAGAAATTGCAGTGAATATTCAGCTTATTAAAACATGTTGGTTGCCATTACACACATATATTACATTTTATTTGTTATATAATCATTTTATAGGATAACTAGAAACCTTGGTGCCACTGGAAAAAAAAATCAGTTCAATCAGAGTTCAACTGAGAAGTGAACAGAATATACCGCTCTGCACAATAAGAGAAAGAGGTGAAATAAAAGATTCCATCAGGAGCTTAGACCCCTCATGAGGTCATCAAGGTTTGGAATGGGGTGAGGTCATGTGTAGCACAGGAATCCCCCCCCTGGGGTCAGGACACTGGTGGCTGGTGGGATGTAAAGAAAGTTGAGGATCTAAATGAGATGAGTGGACACTGGATGTTGAGGTGACCTGGGATGAAGAGGTCGCTGTGACTCACTGAAAATAACAGCAACAGAGAGGAGAATAGATTCAAAGTGAGACATAGAGAAAGTCTTCCTGACTAATCTTACACTAAGCTTCACTTGGAAGTGTCCTCTAGGTACCAGGAAGGAGTGAAGAGATACAGCAAGTGAGAGCTGGGTTGTTTTTGTGTGTGTGTCTGGTTTTACTTAATACACTCATAAACCTCACGCTGACACAACGGTTTGAATAATGAAGAATAAAGGAAATGAAATGCTGACTGTTGTGATCTCTGTGCGACTCAGACTCTACCAAGGCTGAATCACCGCGAGTCATCAATGTTATCGTGGCCGACCAGAGACATCACTTCCTCCTGCCGCTGGGATACGTCCTCACGTCTCTCCTGCTGCTGGCTTTCATCATCCTCATCATCATCCTCATCACACGCAGACGTAGAATGAAAGGTCTGAGCTGCTGTTGGATAATGACTCATTTACACTTTATTCCTCATCTAAGTCTCACCTAATAGAATTTCTTTTTTTCAGAGTTTTACCCACAGGCATCTATGAGGTAAGTGCTGCTAACACAAAGTCACACACACACACACAATCTCTGTGTTACTCACAAACACACACTCACACGTCTCCTTCTCACTGTGATAGGTCCAGCCGGAGTGAGAGCAGCTCTGATGAGTTAGAGATGGACGTTACTGGAGTCTGTGTGTCCAACGACGAGGAGAGAGGATTTGGTGAGTTTGAAGAAAGAATGGAGTCAGGAGCCCTTTAAGGGTCTTTGGGGGCCTTAAGAAAAAGGGACCTATATCGAATCAAACTAACTTCCAATATTTAGATGATTCTTTTAGTGTCAACATTTCAGACAAAGTGCAAACTGTGCATCCATGTAAATAATAGTAAAGTAGTGCAAACCTCCACCACCATCTCAGACAGATCACACACACACAAGCCGCTTTCAGACATGCACTATTCTCCTGAAATTATCCAGAGTATCTCCTGCCACAGCACAATAATGTCCGAATGAGTCCAAATGAGAACACATGCCACGCCACCCCTCACTTGATTGTTTCACAGAACGCGCTTGACTAGAGAATCAGCTGCTGTGTTCCTCATATGAAAGGTAAACGCCAGAGAAAGTCCAGACATATTCCAGAGTTCACCTCTGAAAATGCTATTTAGACATTTTGTCTTCAAGGCAACTTAATGATGACCTTGGTACCATTGCAGTCTCCTAAGCATAGACAATCATAGAATCTAAGGGGATTCTCACAAAATTGTCCTTACTGTGAAATTGCATAATCAGTGCACCCCTAGACCCCCCTCTGTTTTCTGGGCCCCAGAGAGCTGCCTGCTTTTCCTATCCTATTGCCCCTGAGTGGAGTGAACACATGATGGCTGTTTTCTTGACCGTGTGTGTATTTTCCCCTGTGTTTTTTAGAGTACAAGAACAACCTGCTGAAAGAGAAAGTCCATGTGAACACTCAACCTAAAGTCATTGATCTTGACAAAGGTAAAGATTGTGTGTGTATATGCGCCGATCACAGATGACCTCACATCACAAGTGAATCCTCAGTAACCTCAGTTTGTCTTTTTTCTTCTCGCAGAATTGCAGAAATTTTCTAAGTGAGAGAAGGACAGAAAAAGTGAGAGTGGAGTCGCTGGCTGGTCCAGAGGCTGAGTTCCAAACAAAACACACTGCCTGCCCGTCCTGGCAGGAGGGACATGGAGAGACAAAATGAGTGCCACCAAAACTGGAAAAGAAAAGAACATTTTTAACCCGTCAAAATGCCAGTGACACATTTACAGCAAAAGATTTAGTTTTCTTTTATTGTATTTTATTGTCAAATGAATGAATAAGAAAGAGTGCTACGACTGTGCCTGGCACCATAGCACCACCCACAGGGGAGATTCAGCTTTGACTGAGTGAAGTGTACATTAGTTGAATGACGCCGTGATTGACCCTTGAATTATCAGTTACTACAGAATCAGTCATTTTGCCTCAAGTTTAAAAAGAAATTGAACTGATGATTTATTTTCCCTTTGTTCTTCTGTTTTTCACATGTTGGTTTAAGTGAATGGACAGAAGCACCACTGAAGTGTTGATGTCAGTGTTTGATTAACTGTACGCTAACTGACCAAAGATACAGTCTATGTATAAATGTTTTATTGTGACTGTGTTTTGAAACTTGTATTAAAATGTGTTTGACTTCTAACTGAGATGGGTTTTTACACTCACTTGATAAGAGATAACCACTCTGTGTGTATTCAAATGACTTAAATAGTAATTACTTGTGAACTGAATGAGGAGGAGCAATAAAACAATTGGTCATTTTTTCATGATGATGTTTCCATGGCTCAAAATAGGAAAAGTACGAGTGATGCACCTGTAGATGTGGAATAGTTTCACCTCTGGTTCTGTTTTATTCAAGTGCCCCTATAAGATTTAACAGTTTGACGTAATGTAAACTGTGAGCTGACACGTACTATACCAGGCCCCTGAAACTGAAGCAGCTGAATTCAGCTATTATCATAATTAGTACCTTTGGCAAAGTTAGGTTTAGTTCACCAGTTCGCAAAATTACGGATTCCCCAAAAACTTGGAGGAAGTATCAGGTATGGGTCAGATAAGAACAATAACAATTTTGGTGCAGTTTTTCAACATTTTCGTTGATTTGAGAATAACAATGAAAATTTTAATGAAAACAATTCACTTTCAAAGTGCCCTTCTAGAAGTTATTGTCAAATCTTTATAGAAGGATCAGCTTCTTCATATTTTGAATGTGACTGTTTGCTTGATAATCACTGCAATTAATAATATCATCTACATTTGATGAATCCGAATTTTAATGCAACTTTTCCTGGTCTGCTCATACACAACCCCGGTTTAAGACCCACCGCATTACGATAAGATGGATGTTAGTGTCCATTCAGGGAGTAAAACACATATACACATATACAACTCATTGGATTATCACAAAACTTGGTGGAAGGATGTGGTATGGGTCAGCGAAGAACCCACTGAATTTTGGTGAGGATCCAGATGAGAAGGCAGATCCAGGAATATTTTTTTTACTTTTTTCAACAGTGCGAGATAAAGCTTTTTTTTTATTTTTTACAACATTTTCACATTTTTACAGAAAGCAATTCATGGATCATAATTTAAAAAAACCAGGCACATAGAGGGGACTGATAGCTACGACTGTGTGAAATTTGCTGCAGCTTGATTCGATTTAAGGACTGTTGGGCCTTGGGGGAGGTATGTGCTCTCCTGAGGGACATTCTAGTTTGTGTATTGCGCTTTTCAGACAATTACACTTGAGTGCATGTTAGATCGTTGATCATTTATTCATTCCTTTGTGTCAGACAGTCCCTGAAATCAACACAAATGGCTTTCTATACACTTCGTGAAGTTTGTTTTGTGATAAACATTTTCTATAAAACACATGGCAGCTATATATATATATATTTTTTCCATCTAAAAACAGTAGGAAACCCTGGTCTGTCCTGCACTTTTGGACAACTGTGTCAAAGGAAGCAGCTTGCTCACACACAGACTCCTACATTCATGAGATCACCTGCCCTCTGATCCATTCTATAGGAACTACAACGCATTAGTTGATTCCTCTGTCGCTCTGTTTCACACAAACACACAGTCAGTCAGACAAACAGCTATGCAGAGTGTGAGGGGGAATTCATTCAGAGAGTAAACACAGGGCCAGAGGATATTTGGGGCCCTGATGTGTCTGTTTACAGTTGGAGGTCATCTACAGGTACTGCAGGGTGAGGACCAGGCAGGATGCTGGGTAGAGGAAAGAACCTGCAACAGGATGTTTGAAGTAACTGGGGTGCATTTATGTTGTGCTAAATTCAATCCGAAAATATCGAGATGTTTGCTGTTGTTTGTGAACATAAAAAACAATGATGCTCTAAACAAGAACTGATGGAATAATAACAATTAAAATACAACATTCAAATCTGAACATTATAAACAGTGCCTTTTTCTTAGTGCCCATCAGGGAAAGAAAAGAATACTACCATGTGTAATCCATGGTAAGTTAGTAAGTCACTGAAGGAGATGATGTGGTACATGTATACTGTACAACCTGCGCTCCGTCTCACTGGAGCAGAGTCTGCTGCTGTTATACTCGAACTGGGCCAGCGCTGTCTTAGTCACCCAGTCACTGGTCAAGCAGACTGGGTGCAAGTACACAGTGCTCATGTTTAGCAACTGTACAACCCCCCTCCTCCTCCTCAGTTGGGCATCAAGTGGCTCATGGCACCAAAGGAGTTGATCAGTCTTGGATATAAACTAGCCCGACAGATAGACACAATGAGAAGAGAGGTTAAATATTCATTGTCCAATGTTAGGCCGACTGAGAGAAAATGCCAGTGAGAATGCTGTCTCTCCCCCCCCTCCTCCACTCCTCAGGGCCTGGTCCAGCATCCGATGACTTCACATAACAAGTTAAACATCAATCTAAAGCAAAGGGACGCACGCGCTCCTCTGGACTGGTCAGAAGAAGATGCATGGAGGGACTTTCTGGGAGGGTCTCTGGCAGGGTTGGTTCACTGTAAACAGGGTATTGGTTGTTTATTTATTTATTTTTTATTTATGTCTATCAAGTGTCCACCACAGGTCCACTGAAGTCCTGCTGAGGGCTGTCCCGAGGGGAGGAGCTCTCTGGGGCAGGTGGGTGAGGGAAGTGGGTGACCCCTGCTCCTGAGCTGCAGGTCACACAACCCTGACAAACACAAAAAGAAAAGTCAGAAGTGGTTTCGGGTGGTCAAAGAGAAGGACTTTTATTTGTGGTGAGTGTGTGAAGATCCCCACCTGTGTATCAATCTCTTGTGGGATAGTGTGCTGTTGGATCCAGGGATGGACTTCAGCCAGCTCTTCTCTCTGCTCCTGGCTGAACCAGGGCTGGAGAGGCTGAATAACCCGAAGCTTCTCCTTGTCTTCTGCCAACACCTCATTCTGGTCCCTGGTTAAAATAAGACATAGAAAGGTGTGAGAGTGCCTTGTCTCGCATATCTTAATCTAACAAGATCTTCCTTTGAAATGCTCTGGGAGCCACATGGTTCCAAGAATAACTCAATCATCTCATCTATGCTTCTTCTTGTCTTTCTTTTCTTCTACATTTGCCAAAGAAGTTAATTCATTAGCCTTTGCATGAGGGGACGTGTTATAGGTCTTCCTTGCCTTAGTCACTGTTTGCCACTTCTTTCAAGTGAATTAGCTGCTGCACATGGAGTCATGACGAGCCTTTGTTGGACTGCTAAACAGTGAAATCACTATGTATTTGTTTGTGTGCATCCCCTTAATTTCATACTGATGTCATTACATGATTAAATCAAGGGATTGCATCAAACAAACAGGAGTTCTCTTGGTCCATACTCACCTACAATCACCACACAAACGCAGAGCAAATGATCAATTGTTTTAATTTAGCTTTGATAAATGATTTGTATGTTTAAGTTAAGACCATGGCACTCAGAGAGGCCAAGTCATAGAGCAACTGTCATATGGGTAGCATGTCATGGAAATGACCACAAGTCTACAAAGCCAGTCTTAAAAATACAGTTTCAAAAACATTTCCATGGTCTCGAAACCTCAAATGTCAAATAGCGTTTGATCTTGAGAAAGTTGGACTGACAATAAAGTTTTTTAATTTGACTTAAATTCAGCTGAAAGATTTTAAAATCACCAAAGTGCAGAATCTACAAGTGATTGTTGAATTTTTACAGCTAGAAAAAAAATCTAAAGAAATATTTTAATGTGACCATTTATTTAAGTAATACTTATGCCACCTTGCTCCTTATAGTTTCTTTTCCAAGTTTTATTTTCTTTACATGTGCTCTCTCTCTTTGGGACTGATGCTTATCAGTGTGTACAATTTGGTGCAGATCCAAATAAAAATCCAGATCTAGTTAATTTAAATATGGTTTCATTAGGGAACTATTGGGCCTTGGCAGAGGTGGAGGCATTTGCTCTACTGAGTGCCATTCTAATTTCCAATGTCACCATGTTTAAGGGTTAATGAAGGTTTAACAACAGAGCACAGCTCACAGGAACTAGTGACAGAGTAGGGAAGAAATTCTGTTCTGCTCTGTATGTGTTGGCATTTTCAAGCATTTTCCTTTTCTGGTCACATTTCAATCCATGATGTAAAAAGCAGCTGCTTCCTGACAGCTGTCAAAGGTCTTAACACAACAGATTATTCTGTTTATTGAGAAAGGAATGGAAACACCAGGAGTGTCGCTGTGTGTACCTGGTGTGGATCTGGTACGTCATCATGACTTGCTCAGGTGTGTGCTGGATCATGCTCCACAGGGAGGTCTCCACACGTGTGTCGAAGCTGTGCTGGTTCTCTGCTGGTACCTCCTGGCTCTTGCGGGCTCTGTGCGACGTGTCTGATGAATCATTGCTGGCGAAGTATTTGCTGCTGTTGCTGCTGCCTGTAAAGCCATTAATATGTCAGTCTCTGTCTTCAGAGGTTACACATACAATATCCATTGCCACTAGATGTCTCACTAGCACCAGCATCTCGGACCAAGAGTCAAGCACATATTTGTTGCTCATTTCAATTGGCTAATAAATGTTACAAAAAAGTAAACAATACATATTCATCATAACATTATGACGACAAAAATACCAAAAGATGTCTAATATTATTTCACTATATCTAGTGTGCTCAAATTTTATATTCTCAATGTATTAAGACAATCGTTATAACTTAAATGTAAGATGGATTGAAAGTGTTAGTTTTGTCCTTCCTACCAGTGTGAGAGGTGGAGGTTCCATTGGAACCAGATCCAGATCGCAACGAGCCTCCAGACTCCCCTGATCCTGAGGCGTTGGATCCGGTCCCTGACCTGGCATCCTCCTGCAGTAGCAGGTCAAGCATCTCACTGGATGTAGACTGGGCATCATGGTTCCCAGAGTCACTGGGGGTGTCAGTCTGAGAAGGGAAAAGGTCTTACGGTCAGAAATACACCACAATTTGGTTCCCTGGACTTCACAACTGTTTATACTGTACTGGCTATGCATTAAAATCCACCTAATGACAGAATTATGTTTTTTTTTAAACATGTAAGAAAGTATAAAGTAGGTGAAGATTGATGAACAAGAGCTGACTAACCTCGTTGGCATGTTTTTCATGGAGGCTCTCTGTGTGGTTGTGCCCGGTGCTGCTCTGCCCCTCACTTGGCTTAGGCAACTCCTCCTGCAGAAGGTTGAGCTGCAGTGGAGAGCTTGAGCGAGAGCTGGAGAATAAAGCCCGGGCTTCAGGTGCCTCCTCCTCTTCCCCAACAGAGGAGCTGGGTCTGGGAGAGCAAAGCAGAGGGCCCGGAGAGGTCATAGTGTGGGGGCCAGGCTGGGTTTCGAACTGAGGCTGCAGGAAAGGGGCACTGTCAGGGGCAAAGCCCATCATGGTGATGGGTGCCTGGGGCAGCATGGAGGTACCTGATGAAGGGAACATGGATGGGTAACCTGCAGTGAAGGTTTGGTAGTTGGGAAGGATGACGGCCATGACAGGAGCCAAGTAAGGGTTGATGGTATGGGCTGGGGCCATGGGCTGCATGGTGTGAAAGTTCTGCAGGTTCTGCAGAGTCTGAATGGACTCCATCTGGATTGGTTGCATGCCTGACAGGCTCTGAGTTGACTGTATGGTGTTGAAGCTGTAGCTGAGCTGGGTTTGGTCTGGAGGCCTTAGCAATACAGGAGTCGGTCCAGGCATCTGTTGTGCTCTGGGCGGCTGCTCTGGACCAGGCTGAGTCGCCATCATAGGGAAGAATGGCGTCTGGAGTGGGGATGTTTGGCTGTAAGGCACCCCCATCTGGGGCTGAGAGGACTCTGACGGAGGCCAGGAAGAGTCAGGGACACGGCTAGGAGGGCCAGGCGGGGAGGCATAGCTATCTGAGGAACCCTGGGGTTTGGGGCGCTTATACCTAGGCTTTCCTCTCCGAGAGCGTTTCCAACCACCGCCGCTTAATGGACGTAGGTATTCACCTATAGTGAGATGGACAAAAATTTTAGTTAGCATTTCCTCAATGAGATGGTATTATAAAAAAAGCATTACTACACATGTAAGTACCTTGTTGATGGGAGTGAGCCATCGAGCTGTTGTCCAGCTGCAGGTAGGAGCTGTAGGGGCTCTGGAGGATGCGGTGGCGGAAGCGATCCACATACTCTTGCTCCTCCTTCTGGGTATGAGCTGACAGCACCTGCTTAGTGAGACCTACAAACCTTCGCTCCTCTGCTGCAGGGCTCGGGGCTGGACGGATGTGGGTGGGAGCAACATCAGCAGGCTCACTGCCCATCGGTGCATCCTCTGGTGCTGTGGCCTCTGTGGTTGAACATTGAGGAACAAAAACTTGTTCAGTGGTTTACAGGCCTTCCCTGACAGCTCACAAACAGAGAGGGATCCAAAGCTTTTCTAAATGAATATTTAACTCCTTATAGAGGTACTTCCCAGACTACCATAACCACTGGAACCATAGAGTTGCATAAGATCGTAACACAGACATGAGGGCGTGTTTATATACCTGACTCAGGCTGCGGCACATGTACGATGGTGCTGCTGTATGAACACTGACTAGTGACCGAGACCACACTCATGGCCTTGCTAGACATCGTGATGTCTGTGAGAGGTGCTCCCACTACAGCTGCAGGGCCCACTGACACCTCACTGTCCAAAACCACCCCTAGACACACAAGTAAGTAAATAAGTATCAGTTCATGTTGCTTCAGCAAAGAATGTTAGAGAATTTTACAGAAGAGAAAGTCATGTGTTTATACCATCTGAGTTGTCCTGAGCCGTTTCTGCGGCTCCAGCAGGCTTGTCATCTTCTGAGGTAGAGGATGAAGAAGATGAGGTGGCCAGGGAATGAGACTCACTCTTGCGCTTAAGGGCTGGACCTGTACAGCTTTCCAAATATCTACAACAGAGAGAATTGGAGTAATTAATAAATTTCATACTTTGTCTTGTAGTAAACTGAACTGATTCAAGCATGGTTAAGACCACACACCTGATGATGTTGTCCACACAGTTAATTTGCTGATAGGAAGGAATGTGTGTTTGCTTCCTGCTTTCTTCATGATCTCTGACCTCAGTGTTTAAGGCTGCAGGCAGCAGACGTGCTGGATGAATAAAGGGTATTTTTAATAATAAAATAATTGCACTTATTAAAGAACTAGAATAGCTGCACTGCGGTTGTATGCCTCAGCCAACCCGTGCAGTTTCTGTGTACATATTTCTATAGACCTTTTATATGAAGGTCAATATAAACCTTAACCTTTGAGAACTGAAACACAGTAACATGAGCTCATAAATGTTGAATGCACTAATTGTAAGTATAATGAAGTTGGTGTGTGTGGGGGACTACATTACCTGTGGCAGGTTTTCCAAAAAGAGAAACTTTGTGGTTGGAATCCAGATAAGCCTGCTGACCCCAACTCTTCACTCTGTTCACGTCAGCACAGATCTGCTGCAAAGTCATCTGCAAGAATACACACACACACAAAATAAAACAGTGTGATTAAACTTAGCAAGAGCAAATGAGCTACCATTGGTCCGCTGACAAGTGAAGTCGCTGTCTCACCGGTTCCCGGTGTGAGTCCTCCCATAGGTTACCATTGCTGTCACTTGAAGAAGCGACGCTGATGTAATGCTCATGAGATCCGTTACTTCCCAGACTACCGTAACCACTGGAACCATTGTTGTGGACCGGCTGAGGCAAAGAGACACGGTAATTCTCATACACATGAACACAAAAAGAATGCATGACATCCCAGAAAAGATAAGTCTATGAGGCTGCATGTGACTACACTTGAGTGGGACTCAAACTCTAGGACCAGAGACCTGACCCATTTGGGTTCAGATCCACGTTTCCTGTTTTCAAATACCTGAGTGGATCTGAGAAAACCCAGCTGTGATCAGGCAGCACAGATTGTGTTGGAAGTGCTGTGTGTGTATGCATATTGTCTTCCAATCAGAAAAGAGAACAAGGGTGTCTCAATCTCTGCCTGTCCATAATAAAACAAAACCCTGGAGTTTTTAAACTTAAACTAGGCAGCAGCCTTTCTAAAAGTCTCTGTTTTAGGTGATTAAAAACCCCTGGACACCAGACGTAAAAGTAATGTGACAAAAGTAATGCATTAAAACTAACATATATATAGTCTGAATATCATTTCTTAAATAAGCAACCAAGAAAACCCACAGAAATGTCATTATGATACAAAACAGAGGAGCAAGGTTATCTTGAGTTTAGATTTAATTTAAAAAGCACATTTTCTTTACTTTTTCCCTTTTGATAAATACCTAAAAATGTTATTTCAATGTTTTGAATGTTTTTTCAACAAAGAAATATTCACCTGCAGGAAAAGCTTGTAGATCTTTGCCTGCAGGTCTTTAATTTCCTCATGACTGACTGCAAAATCCTCCTGAGTCTGAGCAGCAAATACATCCTCATTCAGTGGACTCCTACAGGCAGAGAAAAGCACAGAGACGTCTGCTTTATTGTAATGCAATTTAATTTCTTAGCAATATCAATGCTGCTGCAGCACTTCACTGAAAAAAAGGTGGGTATTAAGACAGATGCAAAATCCAAATCCTCATTGAACATTGAAGGCACAACGACCTTACTTTTGAATACACCAAATTATTATCTTTTTTGTGAGAGTGCTTTTGCTCCTTACGTTCTGACTTTATGCCGTCCGATGATAAAGGCCACCTTGCGGCTCCATGGGTTGATGAAACTGGACCAGCTTGTGTCCAAGGTGATGTAGTCTCCATTCTGACAGCGAAGACGCACTGGAGAGTGCTCAAATGGTGGCTGGCCAGCATACTTCAACACTACACATGGTAACAAGAGTGAAAACAAGAGAGAGATGTAATAAACTGAATGAGAGACTGGTCCTTAAAAAACAACTTTGAGGGAAAACTTGGATGGATATTAACTCTGGGTAAAAAAACTTCTGTTACTGGTTAATGTACATCATATTTTTCCTACAAATGCATTCATTGAAAAATTACCATAACCCTATTGTACTCTCTACTACTCCCGACATTACTATTTGCTATTAATAACGTTCGAAATGAGCTACTTCAAAAAAACCTTCCTTGAGCATGTACCTTTCCGGTGCATAGATAGCAAGAGGGGCCGGTCTTCTGGATGAATACAAGTCAGCAACGACGTGCCAATCAGATCCTGAGGAAGGTATCCTAGCAACGGCACAGCCCTGTGGATAATAACTGTAACGTCAACTTCATCTACACACTGCCATTTAATAGCTTAACATACAGTTCAAACTCTGGTTGTGCACATTTTTTGTGTGTGTCCGGACCTGTCATCCACTTCAAGAAACACACAACCAGGGGAGTGTGTGGTGGTGAAGATGCGCTTGTCCATGGGGATCCGAGGTGCTGCATGAACAAATACCAAACATTAGGAAGTACATGTGCATCTACATATGCCTTAGCATAGTGATGAGCGTGCAGCGTGAGTAATCAAATTAAAATGTTTTTTTGTTTACAAATTTAACAGAAACATCTCTGGGCTGGCAGAAGAGTAGAATAAAAATGGAAAATTATCTTCTACTCAACTACTACCACTCGGTCGCACCACTACATATGACTGTACCTTCATATCCAGAGATGATGCGTTCAGCCAGCGCCAGGGAGCATGGCTCCTCCTCCTCCCCACTTGCTCCTGTTCCCTGCACCTTCAGCAGGTACGGCGTAATCCGGAATGGATTGTAATGCATCTCACCCTCACGGTCCTTCTTGCCCCTAAAATAAACATTAATTTTACTTTCCTTTGTGATCACATAAGAAAACAAGCTTTTTAACTCTTTAGTTCAGGACAAACACTAGTAGACGCTTTACAGGAAACTAAACAAATGCTGATATAGTCATGTCTATCCATTTCCAGACTGGTCTCACCTTAAACACTGATGTCTGTGTGCTACAATAATACAGCGATGACTTGCTCCGTCTTTATCTGTGCTGTATAGCTCGTAACAACATCCCATAGGGGTCAGGATGAATGAAGAGCTCTGAAAACTGACCCTTTGGTGACCTTTACTTATATTTATTGGTAAAGATTAGTAACTGCAGAGCTTTTCTGATACTATTCTACAAGAAAGGATGGAATTCATATCTTTTGTGCTCTTCCAAGAAAGATTATTTGATTCTGCAATCACTAAATTATTTCATGTCTAACTTAACAAAATTAATAGATTTCAGATACTGACCTGATTCTGCAGAAGAAGGACTTGACTTGCGCACAGTCAAACAGAACCCCAGCTGCAGAGACAGACAACAGAGGAAAGTGGTATTTGCATGTGAAAATACACATGGGCACACAAATATAAAGCCAAAACTAAGACTAAAAATCACAGTTATAAAGTTTGACATATGTTTGAAAATTAACAATGTCTGAATGTCTATCTCTGTCAATCCATAGCAGATTAAGGTGTAATGTAAATTAAAGTGTTGGTTATGTCTATTGGTGTTTTTATTATGTCAGTATGTGGATAATGCCCTGAGAATGTTATGGTTAATGTTATCAAAGCTATAGGGATAAATAAAGAATCTATGTATCTCATAATATGCAAAGCAGACTATTATAAAAAGGACCGAAGTACAATATAAGACTCATTTTAATGCTTAAGTATTTGTCTGTTACAGCCAGTCCCTATATACTAGAATTAACCTAAATTTAAAACATTTTTATTTTTACAAATTTAAAATTATTTTAAAATTTATATTTAAAGTTGATTCCTTAACCTTACCTAAAAAATAACAATAAACTGAAAGTTTATAAAATGTGGTACAAACACACCTGTGTGCGAGTTGCTCCAGGGTGGCAGGTGCGGCTGAGCCGTGTGCGCGTAGAAGACATTAACATCTTGGTGGAAGAGCAGCTCCACAAACTTGGCCGACTCTAGGAACTTCCTCTTGCAGCTCAGAATGGTGTGAGCCTGCTCTGACGCGTACAGCACGCGGCCGCTCGAGAGGGAGAAGACAACCACGAACGAGTCCTAGATACAGAGACGTACACACGCACATGTAGAAAGAAACACGTACACAAGCGAGCCAAGTCACAGACACATAAAAGCAAAAGACACGCATACACTCACACACATGCCCAAGCATGAGGCAAAAATATATGTTTATGTGAAAGAATTCCCTCGAGGCGATTCAGAGATATTGCATTCAAGTGAAAAAAATGTGCTTTGTGAGGTCACAATGACATTGACCTCTGATATGATTTAAGAATTACTCACAAAAAAACCTATCCACAGGTGATTCCTTGTGTGTTTTCAGTGACAAATGTAGGCTACAATTGAGGCAAGAATGTGAAGTATCATTAGTTCTCGTGTGTGTATTATGGGAGTATGTACCGTGTTTTTAAGGGTGTGTTCAGACGTGACTCTTTCCAACTCTTCCAGGGAGCAAACGGTGGCATCTCTCCTCTCATCCTGGCCAGTTCTAATCAGCAGTTTGTAGTATTCACTATTGGCTGAAGACAAAAGCACACAAAGGAAAAATGTGTTGGCAGGTTTGGTGGAAAAAGGGTAAAAAAATGTTTTCCAGCTGTCTGTTGGGCCAGGTTACCTTGCACTTGTTTGACACAGTTGAGTGCGTAATGTAAGGCCTCCACAGTGCTGGCTTTGCTGCGACTGCGCTTGTCTGACGGAAGCCTCTTCTTCATCTCAGCCACGGTGACCTTCACTTCTCTGTGGGCCTGCCCTCTGCCACCATCTGCATGCTCACTGCTACAGAATCAGAGATGCAATAACATTAAACACAATCATCTTTGTTCCACTACATTTGTCATGGCCATGTGCACTCAGTTTTCCCATGCAATATTATGAGCATGCTTGACTTTTATTTCTACATCAGTGGTAACCATAGTAATCTGACTAAACTGATTTGTTTACAACCTCTTTGTTGGTCTGGCATGTTTTGTTCTGTTTATTAGCATGTTGTTCTGTTACAAGATCTCAGCTCTTACATTGGTAAGGACATTGTTCATCTGATATCTGTTATATCTGATCAAAAATGTCAAGGCAAGAGATAAAAACAAAGTTGTAGTTAGCTGATACTAAGGTGTCTAAACTCTTAAATGGATTAACAAGAAATTCTGTAGACTGACTCACAAAGGCAGTGCTATGATGTGCTATGGACTTCAGTGCATTTTAAACTTAAACTTAAAGTCACTGTGTTGTGAATGTTTACAGAAATGTCAGGGCAAATACCTCTTGATTGAAACGGAGGTGGATCCAGTGGCACTCCCAGGGCTGTGATTGGCCGAGGAGGAGAGGTCATGTGAACCACTGGTCATCTCTTCATCTTCCTGCCCGACTTCTCCACCTGAAGCACCGCTCTCCTCTCCTCTCCCCTGCACCCCTCTGTCCTGCTGCCCGGACGTCACTCTCTCCTCCCCTCTACCTTCACCTGTAGCTGGTGATTGCACGGGTTCCTCCCCATCTGGGCCGCTGTCACCCCCAGGCATCTCCGCACTTTGGTCACACATCAGTAGCAATAGGTCCAGTTATCGTGATCAGTAAAGGTCTTCATAGTTCTTCAGAAGGGGGCATGAGTTCCATGTGGTGATGATAATTTATCAGCACTGTAAAACAGAGGGAAACGAGGGGAGATGACCGTAAGCATTATCAGAAAAGGTTTGCAGGATTTGAGCAAAAGATTTGAGCATGGACAAATTAGCAGCTGGTGTCGACCTGGTGCCTCAGGTCTCATGAAGAAATCATGACAAATTATGTGGTAATAGCACTGTCCTCCATGTTAGCCCAGTTGACAATGTGAGGCTGGTGGGTTTGTTCAAAACAGAGTGTGATCTAGAGGAACTGGAATATATTAACCTTGAAGCCTTAAAGTCGTGGTACCATGAAGCAAGCTGTGCAAACCCCTGAAGACACATTATTCTGGTTTTATGCTCTGAGAAGGTACAATTTTAATAATTGAAATGATGGTGTGCATGTTACGTTTTCTCTGTTGAAATTTTATGTCTCCATCCCATATTATTTTTTCCTTCTCTAAATACAACCAGTTGATGGCCATCCCACCCTCAGCCTGATTGTTTCTGTCTCATAAGAGAAAGTTTCTCTTCACTGTTGTTTGGCCCTGGGTCTTTGTAAATAATGTTAAAAAGACTATGATCTAGACCCGCTCTGTATGAAAAATGCCCTGAGATAACACATGTTATGATTTGTGGCTGTATGAATAAAATGTACTTGATCCAACTATACTGTTACAATATATTCAGTTCATTTTGTATAAATAATTTTCCATTCCTTATATTTGTGTTTATATTGTTTGTTTCATTTTTTATTACTTTAACTGCATGTCAATTTTTACTACCCCCTTTTGCTGCCATAACCTGGCAAATTTCCCCATTGTGGGACTAATAAAGGATTATTTTATGGCTGTATGGGCTTGTAACATGACGCAAGGGAGATGAGAGGATCAGGGAGAGGTCTACCCATGGTAAATTTCACACACATAAACACAACAAACAGGGGTGTTATAACTTTAGATTACATGCTTATTCCTGCTATGACAGGGAGGGGGAAATACAAAATAAAGTATAATGGCTCACTATATATCTGTTTCTCTTAAAACACAGTAACATAAAGGGAAAAGTCTGCCCATCAAAGGGATGAAAATGCACTCATTATCTACTCACCACTATGCAGATGGAGGGGTGGGTGAAGTGTTTGAGTCCACAAAACACTTCAGGAGTTTCAGAGGTAAATACTGTTGCAGCTAAATCCAAAACAATTGAACTAAATGTCGACCACTTCTTCAAACGTAAAAAAAACAGAAAAAAACAGAAAATGCCTCCATACTGCTTGTGTGGTGTCATCCAAGTGTCCATTAGCCCCCACATCGAATTAGCTCCACTGACACATCAAGCAAAACAAAACCAAAAGGTGCATTACCCCAGTTCACCTTCTTAAATCAACATTCTTCAGCCAGCCTTTTTTCCGTGAACTAAATAGCAGATATACAAACACAAGCTGCAGCTACCACCAAATACATGCCGCACTGAAACAAGGTACTGACAAGAGACACACAGATAAAGACAGAGGGAGATAGACTGATGGACACAAGCAGGAGTCGATAAAATGTTGTTGGTCATGTCATCACTGCATGATTACATAACCAGTCTGCTGAATTCAAAGTGTAAAAAACAACATCCCATTACTTGTGACATTAAAACTATACAACACACATACAAAAACCCAGTTTTACTTACATCAACTTTACAGCACACAAACAAGATCACACTAAGGTCAAGTAGGTTACTTCTCTCCCCTTCTAGAGTTTGAGTACTTGTTCAAAGCACAGGGTCACTCCCAAATCGATTGACAGGTCATTGACTGGTCAACTATCACAATAACCTAAATAATATGAATTATTAATGCTTTTCTGACACATCGATAGTGAAACAGGAGTAAAACCCAGATGGACCAGATGCATATTTTTTGAAAATATAAACAAACTGAGTAGTGAATCAGTCTTTTTCTTTACAGTTGATCAAAATGTGAGAAGAAAACAGTAAATTATATGACTCTTCTGAAAGTCAATAAATGATAACGATGAATGAGAATATTGAATTTTCACCCAGCACTACATTGCTTGTGGTACCACCCTTGCTGCACTAAAGAGCTTGCCTTTCTTATCATATCTGCGGCATAAACAAAATATCAAGCCAGTACCAGGCGGCAATAGTTCCTATTTTGACAAATGTAAAAGCCCTTATGAAGCCTGTTTTCACACAATATACACTGGTGGTAAAAGACCAATCGAGACATTACAAACACTACAACAATCCATGTATTTTCTATGCTCAACTCCACTTGTATATCCAATGTCTTCTTTCTGTCTCAATATAAATATACATCTTTTTGATAAAGTCAAATTTAATTGTTAGATGACAAGAAACTAATAGATTTTCTCAGACACACTATAGTTGTTTATACTTAAATAAAGTATATGTATATATTTTAGTATAATGTACATATTTGACATTGTTCTTATTTATATTATATTTCCACAGGGGATCAATAAATTATTTCTGATTCTGCTTCGGACCCATACCTACATAAATACACATTACAAGTAAACACAAGATTCTTTCAGATATGCAAGTAAAAGCCTGGCAGGATATACATTAGAGGATCGACAATATACGCTTATGAAATTACAATACAATTAAATTACATTTACATACTGACAACGTGTAATTGCGGTCTATATACAAATTAAGGTTAACAAATATTTAATGAGGGACATAGTTAAGAGGATCTGGGTTTAAAGGCCTGACTGACATCTTCCAAGTTAAATATTTATAGGACTGAGGTAGTATAGTGACCTTATAGGTAAACCTGTTTATAAGCCAGCTCAAATACATAAGATTATCAGTGCATATAAAATAAACGTACACAAACAACACAGATTTGAAAGAGGATTTAAGGTCAACGCCGCCTTCATCCACTAGGAATAGGTACTGTTTCCAGGATTCAACAACAGACCGACTCCCACTCATAACATGACACTCGTTTGATGGTTCACTACCCCCTACCCACATAAACCCACTGACCTCAATAACCTCAATAACCTCACTCACCACCACACGTCAAGGCTTAAGCAGAGGACTACATTCACTGCTGAAATAACGGTGTTACTGTGAGAGGAGTCACACATCTGGACAGCAACAAATCACATTTGGTGACATAGTAAAATGTAGCTATGAAACAAAGCAATTAGTAACCCTGGCACTGACATGACTGCAAGGCCAAGAGTAGAGTTAGGGGTGTGCGTTTCAAACCTTAGGTTATATTGTAAATTGCTGGCTTGCTAGTTAGAGCAACAGTAACTATGATAGCTTTACTTGTTATTAATGTATTGTCAATAGCAACATTAGCTTTAGATTGTTGTTGACACAGTAACCAGCACAACTCGCTGTTTAAGGATGGATATTCCTGAAAACCAGTACACAGATGTGTGTTTTAACTGACCAGCATAGAATCACAATTTGGAATAAATGTATACTCACTGGCTTTTAACTGTGGTTGTACCAAGCTGCAATGGCCCTGACTGTTTAATGGGTGACAAGCTTGCCTCAATTTCCCTTATAGGGTGAGAAAGTTGGAACCATAAACAGTGTTTACATACAGCAGATGGACAGAAATCATGGTGCTTTGATTCAGACTTTGGTGTGAAAGCCGCCTAAACATCATTGTTTGACATCATCTTCATTACATGACATGGGAGCTGTTGGAAATAGAAGAAGCACTAAAATGCAATACAAACAGAGGTGTTCTATTTCTCCAGAGTAGTATTACAATATGGCACTGATTGAAAGTCAGGGGCTCACATGACAAGCTAAAAAAACTGCAATTACTTTATTCTTTTTCCAGTATTTTGAAAAACGAATCGGAATTTAGCAACAAACAAGGCATGCTACATGACATTATATTGTTCTAACCCATGGCTAAGGTGGGAGCTTCAGGTGAGCCGAACCTGCCGCGGGCAGACCTCAGGCTCACGAGCTAGAGTCGTGACGTTCACGAACGAACTGAATCTTTAGACCGGCTCATTAACATGAACGATGGGAACCGGGTCGCGTTTGGTTGGGAGCCGTTCTTTTTATTCTCTCTCCCTGAGTTCACACCTGTGGTTCACAGTTGCTCACACAAGCTCCTCCACCGAGTGGGACGGAGAGAGCAACAAGTTGTGCACGCTCCCTTCACGTGAGTGCCTCAGTGCAAAACAAAGAAAAACAACAGCGAGTGCGTCTGAGTCGGCAGTGCAGTGAGCAGCAGCCTGGAGGAGGGGGGGGGGGGCGTCCGTTGTCGTTCTGCAAAATGAGCTGAAGAAAAACGAGCAGCATTTGGATGCACTTTTCGCTTGAGGCAGACAGTAAGGGCTCAGTGCAATATTTGCCAGAAGATCATTTCCTTTAAGTTTGGCTCCACAAACAATTTGCACAGGCATTTTAAAACTCAACACCCCACTGTTAAAGTCTCTGAGCTGAGGAGAGAGCATGACTGACGATGAAGTGGACAGTGCCAGTACTTCTGCCTCCACATCAGGCAGACGTAGGTGTTGCATCAATAACATAAGTCAAAGTAGTTTTACACACATACACACACTTTATACAAAGGGTAAATAGTGATCTCACTGTCAACTCGGAGGGATATGGCAGTGGAATATTTACAATGAATCCATATCAGACGTTAAAATCTCGTCCACACATGCCAAATGAAGTCATAATCAACATTTCAGAATAATTCAAACTCAAATATTGGTGGGACATCTGAGTTCAAAATGATTCTGGTCCAAATCTCAGCCCATCATTCCTCCCTGTGATTATTTCCAGGATAAAATGAATTAACCCCAGGCTGGCTTCTTAAAAGTGAATACATATAAAAATGAGCCAAATGAGCCAGTCTTTTGAATGGCTCTCTGAAATGAACGGAACCCAAAGATCCGGCTCCCTCCAAAGAGCCATAAATCCCACCTCTACGATAAGCTAACATGATAGCATCGCATGCTACTGAGCAGCGCGTTCACGCTGTGTGAACACGTGAAGCCCCGCGCCGCTGGGACAGAGCACACACACACACACACACACACACACACACAGTGAACAACAACACACACACTGTGAACAACAACACACACACTGTGAACAACACACCGGCGGGGAAACAGAGGAGTCTCCCGGCTCAACCTGGCTTGTTTACATCCACGCTCCTCTCTTTCGGCTCGGTGCCGTGGGCGAGGTGCTTCGCTCGCTTCACTTGTTCGCCAACTCGGCAACGACGCCTCAAACCACCGGTGTTCTCTTTGAGGAATATTTACCTTTTCGGCGACACGTTCGATTCAGCCTCAGTGTCCAGGGAAAGAAGGTCACCTATATTAAAGCCGTCTGCAGGTTGTGATTTACATTACAAACATGCGGTGACTTCCGTCGCTGCAGCTCCAGCTCTGCCGGGACGCTTGACACATTTGCGCAACGTGAGGCCGGTACCGCGCAACCCCGCCCACCCCGCGGTGATTGGACAGGTGTTATTTGAATGCGTCGTGTGATTGGATAGGGCCTCCGAGAGTGGGCGTGTTGTGTCCGGGCTCTGGTGGCGGTTCACGTGGATCTCCATGTTACGCAACAGAGCAACAACCCTGAGCTGAGCGCTCCGAACACGATCACATCAGTCCCCACGTCATCCGCCCTGCTGCTCGCTGAATGGACTGACACATAACCAGGGGACTACAGAGACGGGATTCATTCATAATCAATGATCAAAGTCATTTTTTAAACAACACTCCAAAAAAAGTCTCCATCTCAAATGTAACTGTTGCTATTTCTGTGATGGTTGAAGGTCCAGTGCGTCATGGGAGCTGTTGGCAGACATGGAATACAACATTCATTCATGTTTTATTTTTACATACATGTCTGTGGATGGTTTTGTTACATTGAATATATCCGATCCTACTCCTTTTGGTTTGCCACTGCATTAAAAAGCTTTGCATGACATACTGCGGAATACATCCATGTGATATCTACATCCAGGCGTCATCATTACCTGTGCGCTGCCTCTCTCTGTAATTGACATTGATTGGTTTTATTAAAGGACATGCATCTGATGTTGGCCTAAATGAACAGATAATCTTGTTGCCACAATGTTATAGTTACAGTGGCTTTTAACTGCAGTCGTACCAAATTGAAATTAGATATTTCATCTCCTCCTCTACCCACGTGAGCTACAGAGGCCTTGACTGTTTAATGGCTGACTAGTTTGCCTCAGTTTTCCTTAAATTATGAGAAAGTCACAACCATAAAGTGTTTTCATACAGCAAATGGACAAAATCATGGTTAAATTTGATCTGAATCAAGACCGCCTCTTTTGGTCTCACCAATTTTGTTTTTCATTGTTTTAAAATAAGGCCTTCATATCTCTATAGGTAGGGAGTCCTCTGCCTCAGAGTCCTCCATGTTGCCCTGTTTTTACAAAATGGGAAAAATGTTCTCTAGAAGGAATTTCACGGTTTTATGTTGAGAGTGCTGTACGTTTGCCTACTTACAGTAAAAAAGAAGGGGTAGGTAGAAAGGTATTCAGTTGGTTGTAATCTGCACTCTCACTGATTTTTTCACTACTGAAATATACTTACTGAAAAATTAACCAAACTATTTTAGTCTAGTTTTATTTTTCTCTGAAAACTTTGATAGTTGTTCTGTTAATTTGCTTTAGGATTAGTTAGAGACAGAGAAGGATTCAGGCTACTAGAATTTTTTATTTGAAAATAAAATAAATGATTCTATAATTCTGAGTCAGAATTCCTTCTTTTTCCCCATTGAAATTTGTACATGGCCTAATTCTCTTCCATAGACACCAAAATACCCTGTGATACAGCAAGTCTTAGTAACCATCAACAGATCAATGAGAGAAAAAAAACACTCAGACAAGGTGTTGTGATTTAAGTTAAATCTATTTTATTCAAGCAAAAGGCATTCTGGGTCAAAGAGTAGAATTGCACTTATTTGGAAATAACTTTGCCTCAAATTTCTGATGAAGACACAAGAGGATGATGAGAATTTCACACGTCTTGCATCATGCAAGCACTATGACTTAAATGTCTTAAAAACTACTGAAAAGCAATGTTCTACTGATGAAATGCCATGTACAAAGTAATCCAAAATTGTTTCTCATTAAAGCACAGTTCTCTCAAAAAAATGGAGGCAGGAAAAGTGATCGACCAGTGATGAACTTTTTTTTAATGCTCAAACACCCCTGATGCTTGAGAGTGAAGAGTGAGCGGAGCACCAAGAGAAGTTCTTAATAATTAGATGGCACAAAAAGCTAAGGATAATAAAACTAAACTATCAAACATAAGGAGTATTCTGTACTGATTGGAAGGGATACATACCAGTCTGACTCAACAAAAACAGCATAGTATTTGTTAGGACAATCAGAGCATTCAGAAAGTCCTATACTCCTTCACTGACAGGTAAGTACGGTCAATAAGGTATGGCTGTAGTGATGGCTGTTCTCCAGTGGAGAAACTGATTAAGGCATCTGTCTGAAACTACATGCTCTTAACAGTGCTTGATAGTATACAGAGGAACATTTTCTGGCACATGTTGGAGAGCACTCACTTTCTAAAAATCTGTGTGGCAGTTTGTCTTGCCTTCTTCAGGCTGTGAGGTTGTTGGTCTTAGCATAAAGGCACACGATCTTAAGGCAAACTTATGCCATCTTATAATGTATAAGTAGTACTTTCTCAAATGTTGCTTTCAGACATGCACTGAACTCTAGACATTTTCCTGAAATTATCTGGAGGGGATGGCTGTGAGGACGCAAATGTCAGAGTCAGTTGTTCTGGACATTTTGCGGTACTTTTCCTGAAGGTTCACTATTAAAAACTAGAGAATGTCCAATTAAGCCCTTGTGAGAGTACAGCAGAAAAAATGTGCAGAAAATTCACAGCGAGGAAGAGGACATTTCTAACATGCAACAGACGCAAAAATAAAAAAATCCAAGAGTACTAATATGTTAGTATGAATAAGAGGTGACATTAACATAGAAGACAGTCCGCAGCTATAATTTATACATCATGTCATACCTCTACCTAGGTGCCGACCCTCGCCTAAACGCTCGGGAATTTTGCCAGTTGTTTTGAATGTGTCTGACTCGCACAATCTTCTGCTGTGTTCTTCATATGTGAAAGACAAAGTCAGTTCATCTCTGAAAACGGCTGAAGAGGAGGACAAGGACCGGTAGTGTCAAATGGATCAACAGCGTGTTAATGGCTAGTTTTTTTGTTGTAGGGGGGCAAAACAAATTCCTCTTTATTCCACCCTAAGTTTGAGATATTATACAGTGAACTCAAAGGCACTCAACCATGTTTATAAATACAATTTTACATTAGATTCCATTAATCAACAGAAAACTGTAAACAAAACAACAAACCAAATTCAATTCAATAATTTGGAGAAATATCTAAAATATTGGCATGGTATGTTCAGTTGGAGTTGAAAAAGGGGTATCTTTTCCTTTAAATGCATAACTGTTAGACTCTAAATGGACAAAAAAAAAATCTAAGGCACTTATCTTAGCCTGGCACGCAAAATCATGACTATTAATACAGTAAAACATAGAAAGTAAATATAGGTTTAGGAGAGTTTACAACAATATTCTTCAATTCTAGTCCTGAGTTTGGAATGTGTGTGTGTGCGAGTACTTTGTCATACGGTCAAAAGGGGATTTATTTATATTCAGTAATTTTTGTTGTGTTTGTTTCTGTATGTATCTTTCTGCTTTCTTTGGCATGGCACTCTAATAAAAGTTTACTGATGTCTGGTATGTACACACACACACACACACACACACACACACGCAGACACACAGGGCAATCCAGGACAAGGAATGAAGCCCCGCTGCGGGAGGGGCAGAATATTGTGGAGCTCAGTAGCCAGTAATCGCTTGACCTCTTCCTCATTAATCAATGTTGCTCCTCTCCTCTTCTTCATTGCTTCCTCCACTCCTCTCTCCACCATTGTTGTTTTACGATTTAGACCAAACTGTGGGTGAGTTGGGAATTTAAGATTAAATACTTACATAAACTTGTTCATTTCACCCAGGGTAGTTGGTAGATTTAATTACTACAAGTATCACTAATTTAAAGGTAAACTTAATCAACATAAAGTACATAACAATCAACAAGTCAACAACCTGTAATTTTAATCTTTAAAGTAATTACATGTAGAAGGTTACATTTTATAACACCATAGGCTTGATACTTACTAATAATGATGATGATGATGATCACTAAGACAGCTATGAGGATGGCCCACATCTGCAGGGGGTAAATGTTGAGTAAATTCATTGCAACAAACTGGAATACATAACTGGAATTATGTTTATCTTTATCTATTTAAAGAAAAGACTGTTGACTGATCAGCTGTATTATTCATTTCTTTAACAATATAATGTTTGTACTTGGATGACACTTATTAACAACTCTGAATGGAAAATGTATTATGATTGTTGTGGAGTAAAAATAATGTATCATTATTGCTGGGATCAGTATAATTTAGACCTCTTTCAGTTTACAGACTAGTGGTATTGGGTTTATTTATTATCATTTAAAGTGTAATTTGCAACAAACTGTGTTTAGACACCTTGCAGTTCTTCCACCAGTACTTCCTCTTCAGCTTAGCAGCACTGGTCTCAAACTGGGAGGCTCCGGCCTGCAGTGCGTCTGCTCTGTCATCCAGTTCAGACAGCTTCTGGTCACGTTCCAGCACTTTGTCCACATTAACGCGCATAATATCCACCACCTACACACAAACGAGAATAAACACTAGTTTGGATTTCAGTACTTTTAATGTTTCTTGATGTACATGTAAATTTATAGAGAACAGAGAAAAACACTGGGAATACTTGAATATACTGTATATACAACATTGATGGCATCAGTGCCTTTGAGTATTATGTAACCTCTAAGTGATCGTGCCTTAAGAGGTTTAATTATATACACAATTAAGCTTAACAACACAGTTCACATATAATCTCGACGATAATAAGACGTGTGTTCACACAATACTGCAGAATAAACATAACCTATATGTTCCACTGATCCACAAACCCAACTTAATGCCCCTCTCAGACAGAGTGGTAGAGCACAGTGGAGTGTGTTAGCCCATGCAGACCTTACATAACCATGGAGATGGTGATTATATAAACTTCAGGCAGCCAATAGGAGGCTTCGCATGACACGCTAAGGTTAAAATTCTGTGTAGGAGGGGCTAACTTCACAGGAACCACGAGTGAGAACAAGAGAGGAAGAGGACAGTAAAGGGGTTAAGAGTGACAACCACGGAAGGAGACAGATTTGGCAGCAGTTTCTTCCTGGTGGCTTCACTGACACGATTCTGAATAATATTTATTTATTTCCAACTGGAGAATAAATTGTCTCTTCTCTTTTACTGAACGCTCTCTGGAATGTGAGCTGTCATGCAGAGATAGAGCTACCGACACCACAGTTCTTGACACTGTTGTGCTGCTGTTATGTAACTGTCTGCTTGAGACAGACTTCAAGGAGCAGGGGAGTCACAGATGACAGAGGGAGGAATCGCAGTGTTTATGGCTGAATAGAATTTTTTTCATATTAATCGCTACTTCTATTTAAATGTTCCGAGATTGGATGTAAGTTCAGCACATATAGTTACATATCAGGTGCCTTGGGGCACATCCGCCTTGTAAATACTGACATGAATAATTAGTCTGTGTGGACTGTCTGCAGCCTACGGAACTGTCATGACTCAATGTGGTCAGCTGACTTTGTTGAATATATGAATTCTACTAGTCTGTCCCTGCAGGGGAGCTAAAACTAGCCAACAGCTGTCAGCAGATATAATGTTGTTTTACATAAACAATGCAGATTCATTGAATTCATATTAGTAAGCAGCAGAATTTCTGTTTCTGCTCAGTCTGTGCTCATAGTGATAAGAGAATGTCTATGCTTAGTTGGAGCATCTTGCATTGACAGTGCTTGTGTTGCAGCTTAGCAAGCAAAACGTTGGATGTGTACATTGGTTGAGATTGTTGTATTTTTTGGATTATCATGAATATCAAGCAGTGAGAAAATAAAAGTCTGAGGATTTAACTGGACCTGAGAAGCCAGTGATTTAAGAAATCTTACCTCATCCACCTGGGCCTGGGTCTGCTGCAAGCGCTTGTTGCTTGAACCTGCGCCAGAGCCTTCTGGACCGGAGGCTGACCTAAAAATTGAGAGTAAATAGAAGATTCTATTGCATACCACATAACTCAATGTCCATATAAAATGTTAATGTTAAGGCATTTATCTATGGTATTAAATAAATCTGAAAACTTGCACGTTGAAAAAACATAAATGGAACCATAATAATTTTAAACCTGAGGGTGGATAATATCTGGTCTGTGGATGGAGGATAATTTGTCAAGCAGGAACACCCTAGGTGGTGATGTTATGGCTTAATGAATGGGAGGCCCCTAGATCAGCTGCAGGGTTAATGCTTCACGTCAATGCTTCATAACAGACAAAACACTGACAATAGAGAGCTGAACGAAATAATTGGGGGTAAACAGACACAGTGCAGTGGTTGGCTACTGCCACCCTCTTACTTGAGGCAGCAATGTTCTTGAGTTGAACCATTTTAATTACTTTTTAATAAATACATGCTCTATATGAAATTAAGATATTAAATCAAGGTATGGAACTAAAGTAGGACCTGCTGACACCCCTCTCTTATTTTAGCTGGTATTACAGAGAGTACGGCTACGTGTCTGTGTTGTCAGTAGTTCACACCAGCTGCGGTTCAGCCTCTGTTATGCTACTGCCAGCGCTTTGTTTTTACATAAGTTTACCTTAAAAATAAATGTATGAATGAGTGAGTGTGTAGCTGTATGTTTGTGTGTGTGAGAGAGACAGAGGGAGAGAGGAAGAGAGAGAGACTACTGCCCATCACCTTAAGTTCTTTACATTTACTTTTAAAATAACTACACACTTCTTTAAGTTTCTGGTATAATGACAGTATTTCATACAGACTTTTTTTTAACCTGTTGCACATCGTGAGAGAGAGAGACCAGCAGCAGGTTAAAATAAGTGAGGGCAGTATTATTTTCTTTCATAGGGCCCAAAACTTCTAGCGCCTCTCTGTCAGAGAGAGTGTGCAAACAGTATAGTCAGCCAGAGTATAAACATCTGTCAACACTGCAGAGGGGACTGCAGCTGACACCTAACTTACAAGACAAGTGTAGATAACAGCTGAGCATGAATTTCAAACTGAAATAAGCATGTGCTGGTTGCTACCAGGATCTCAAAAAAATGCAATTTCACTCCAGGTGAATCAGACATTTGTTAATATCAATTTAATCTGTGGTTTGAATTTACTTTTCAAACTAAAATCAGCTTTAGCCTTTGCTACCAACAATAAGGACCCAGCAAACATGTCCTTGTCATTGGGAATAAAGCCTCTCCCATTTATCTCTCTGTAGGATATTTACACAGCTGTAACACTACCAGCCCATGTCAGGCAAATGCCTAGGAAATTGCCTTAAGAGAGATAGTTCCTTTTTGATGTATAACTTTCTTATTTGTTCATGAAAAATATGTGTTAAATTGGTGCAAATGTATTTTGTATTTGCCACAAGTCATAGATCGATTTTCAATTACACATAATCATAATAAACTGTATTTATATATGTAATTTGAGAAGGAATCTGAAACTGGATTTATCATTGATTTATTCAAATGACTCTACACTAAAATGTAATTTTACAATTCTGATCTGCTAACCTATAACACGGAAATACAGTAAGTACATAGGTAGGATGTTTTACATTTGAAAGTATCATTAGTAAGAATTAACATCACCCAAACAAGTACAATCCAGTAGCTGACATATCATTTCAGAAAATAAAATCCTCAATAACGTGAAAGACCTTTGTTCCTTCATTTCGAGTACGCATATTGTTTTGACAGACTTCCTGTGTATGGTGGTAGGTAGTGGTGGGGAGGGATGAGGGGGTGGGGGAGGTTAATGGAGACAAGAAAACAATAGATCCCTTGGCTGTCCTCACAGCCAGTCAATAACAACACACAGATAAGTTGGTTATATATATATATATATACTTCCTTTTTCAAATGAACTCAATCGCTACTGTCACTTCGCTAACCTGGTATTGATTTCCATTGACTTCTGTGATATTCACAACCGAATCATGAAATCACTCTCATTTAGTTTAGTGACAGTACGACCTGGGTGGTAACCAGTTCGACCAGACAGAAAACACATATCCTTACTAAAACCTAGTTTGTGCAAGGTAAAGTCGACTCATAGTTTGTTTTTGACGAAGCGTCCAAACGTTGCTACAGTTAGCTTAGCTTAGCTACGCCCGAGCACTTGTTGCATGCTAAAAGCAACGCAGCAAAGTTTTGGGCGTAGCTTTATTTTCTGTGATCCCATTTCACCAAACCTCCCGGAAGGCCGGTGCGTCACGCAAAGTTTGACCAAGTTTCTACCGATCGCACTTTTTATTTGGAAACAGCTTTTAGAAAGAGACTTACATTTTGAGATGATATTTCTTACAACGACACCGCTGCTGATGCTAGCTTGTTAGCTAAAGCTAAGTGTCAAGCCGTAACAGTCAGGAGTCCCTCCGTTGCTGTGCTGCCTTCCAGGAAGTGGGATATGTGATGCACCAGACCCTACAAGAAAATGAATCTCCTAAATGAAAACAAGAAAGCGTTGATTTTCCTTTTTTTTAATTCAATATACCATAATATCTAAATATTTTACATCAATATATTGCCTCAAAAATACATTTTTGTACAGTGAATCTATAAACCTAAATGGTGAAGTCCGTTCCTTTCTTGTAATAAATTATCGCACGTTGCACAAAACAACTCAGTACTATTTGATTTGTCAATCATATATTATCCATAAACTGGCTCTAATATGATACTTTTTGTATTGCTTTTTGTTAAAGTGTAAAAATTAAGTTAAAGTAAACGCTCAGGATAGGCACTTGAAGGCATCGTTAAAGAGGCAGCGCTACACATAACTCCAATTATTAACGAATAAAATCTGATTAAAGCATTAAAACAGCACATACCTGTCAATCATGGAAATATATCAAATTAGTGGTTATCATAGAAGAGTAAGCTCTCAAATATGTGTATTTTCAACCTTAGCTCCTGAAATTGACCATCAGTCCAGTAGATGTGGGAGGAAAAGCGACCACCAGAGCCCGTGATCAGCATGTGACTTCACTTGTATCTTCAAAGTTATCCACAGTGTTTTCAGCACGTGTTTCACAGTTGTAATTGAAAATCATGCCTGATGATTCACTTATTAAGTCAATGTTAAGTATACATCACGAGAAAAAAGTTGATTGTGTGGCACATGACACACCCCTAATGTGACAGTCCCCTGATCGTACCACATTTTAGTCAGCTTGATACAGATCTCTATTTAGATCTGCATCAAATTGCACACACTCACTTATAGCAGGCCCTTAGGTGCAGTACACATGATGTATTTTATATACTCATCAAGATCCATCAGCAGGAAGGAGGAAATCCCATTTTCAAGAAACTCAATTCCAACAATGAGAGATCTCAAATATTCATTATTGGGTCAAAATGTAAAGTGGTTTTACATTATATGGGATAGTGAAATGCCAGACAGAGTCACTGGTAACAGCTGTGAGTGGGAAAGGCAGGTTGGGTGGTAATGCCATCACTTCCAAACCTTGCCATACAGCAGGGGGCAGAAGCTAATAGGGGCAGCTATGGCCAATCTTCCCCATCTGCATGCTGAAGTGTCCTCGTGCAAGATACTGAACCCTGAATTACCAGGGGTCAGAAGTTTTGCCAGGTTCTCCTCTGTTAAGACAGCTAAAGTGTTTTGATTTAGAGATTTCATTTGAGGTCACTGTGCTCTGATGATAGTGTATCTAATCCAAGTTGTACAAACTCTACTTCTCAGTGGAGACATAAATGTCAATAAGATATCTCGAGATATAAGATATGTCAAGATCATGCATCATCTGACTCATTTGCACTGACCCACAAGCTTCTGTAGTGAGTATAACCTGCCTGAACTCACAGACCCATCTCAGGAGCTTACCAGTTAAAGTTTCCAGTCCTGAGCTCCACCGTTAAGACTGAGTGCAACGTTACTTCTGTTGTAAGAAGTGTACGAAAATGAAAAACTAGGATTATTGTAACAAATGCCCATCAGGTAAAACCCTGCACCCACTGCCTGTAGCTTTATTGTGTTAAATGTGCAATTTAATCAGTAAAGCACCTGTCATAACATATATTATCTCAAGGTACTTAGCATGGGGAGGTGGGTGGGAAAGAGGGGAAAGGGGGGAGGGGGCAGTTGGGTTGCTGTGAGACTGGTTGTAATACATACAATAATATTAATACTTATATAGATGTAACAATGTTGTAGCAGCTGTGGCTCAGGGGGTAGAGCGGGTCATGCACGAACAAGAAAATTGGTGGCTTGATCCCTGGGTCCTCCAGCAAGATACTGAACCCCAAATTGCCAGTGTGTGAATAATGATAAATAGAAAAAGCTCAGCGTATATGCTGTATGAATGTACTGTATGTGGGAATGTGGCTTATATTGCAAAATGCTTTGAGTAGTTGATAATAATATTAATAATAATTGATGATTTGCTTGATAATGCTGCCACCCAGAGATGGTTGTTGTATCTCAAACACAATGTGACATATGAAGTCCATTACCTCATGGAACTAAGGGATTCTCACTCACCTGATAAAAGTGTGTTCTAGTTCACTTTGGACTTAAAACGACAGACTGAACTAAATCAATAAACCCATGCACATAAAACTCATATTGGCCCTTATGATGTGTTTTGCTTTTTGAATACAGTCTCGTACAGGTTACTGAATGTGTCCCATTGAGTCAGTAGAGACTCAACCCTGGGATCATCTGATCCATGGGCCAAAAGCCTCGTCCATTGTGCCACTGGTCCATTAACTTTGTCCCTGGGTGATTTCTAGCAGCTTTTGACCCTGAGGTTCTCACTGTCTTTCAAAAACAATGGCTGGTTTCTATCAGCTGATCAGCACACCAGTCTATACCTGCGGATCGTCACTAGAGGACGCTCCTGATCAAGTTTGAATTCTAACCTCAGTGTTTTATCACATAGCTGTAAAGAAATCACAAAGGGGTTTTGCTGCATGAACCAAATGCGACATCATCTCTGAACACTGGAGCTGGAGGATTTGTTGAGTTTTGTATAGAGTTTTGTTTTTTTTATATTTCACACAGGTTTGAACGCATTTGCTCCTCCTGGTCTCATTTCCCTTTCTAAGGTGAGAGGTGAAGTTTTTGCAGGGGATGCTGCTGTGATTGGGCTGCTCCACCGATGGTTTTTACGCAGAGAGCAGGGACCCCAGATAAGTCACCATCGGTCCTGGGCTTCAATTGTGAATATCAGTAGGTTTGCTGGAAGGATGTGCACGGTGTAAAAAAAAAAAACCCTGCATATTTTTTTCTCTTTTCCTGACTTCATCCATCAGCAACCATAGTGCGCCTTCGTGCGCCTCAGTGACCCAGCAGACGTCCCACTCTGTGCCGGATCATGTGGATTATTGTGGTGCTGGTCTTGGTGGCGGCGGGTCCCGGTGGGAGCTGGGGGTGTCAGCTGCCCCACGACTGGAGACCGCAGACGGAAGCTTGCCGGGCCGAGCTGGCGGAGATCATCGTCTTTGCCAAGGTGCTGGCGCTGCACAAGGAGTCGTACAGTATGTACAACTACCTGCCGTGGCAGCACGACACCGACCTGCTCTTCTCTGCAGAGATCGAGTTGCTGTGCGACCAGGCGTGGGGCAGTATGCTGGAGGTCCCTGCCGGCTCCAGGTTCAATGTCACCGGCCTGGGATACTTCCCCTGCTTCTCCTACAGTGTCACCAAAGACAACAACTACTACTTCTTCCTCAGGTGAGACTCAACACGTCCCTGGTGTTCGCTGTTTAAACAAAACATAAGAATTATGTGTTGTCACAGAGGCATTGAGTTTTGTTCATCCCATCCAGAAAGAGTGAAAAGATTCAGCTCATATTTATTACACAGGGAAAAAAACACAATTTGTTACCCACTTAAAAATGGTAACACACAAGTTCTTTCAAATTGTGTAAGCAATTAAATTAATTTAACTTTTAACTTTAAGTTTTAAATTGTTTATATTTATTGAAGTAATTGTCTATGTTGGGCCAACATTTTCCTTTTTTCCAAGTATAAGCAATACCAGAAAATATATGTATCAGACTAAATAAACACCCATTCAGTTAGGTGGATCAGTTAAACTCTTCCACATGGATTCATGCACACTTATAAATGTGGGTAAGGTTTCTAGTTATTAGTTTGTCTCTGTTGCTAAGAGATAACAAGACATGACTCACTTGTTCCCTATCATCCAGTCATGTCTCACAGCCAGAATAAACTTCACTTTGCTGTTTAATATCAACAAAGAAATGAAAATCTGACATTTTCTGAATCCTTTATCTGTAGAATGTTTTACTTGGCAAAAAGTCAGTGAGTGATAATGATATTTGATATATAATAGGTACGAAAATGTTTGACAGACCCTATTAATATGAGACACAGTAGGGTAAGTAATGTTAGGTCTGTGATAACAATGTTGACATCATTGAGCTTTGGAATCGCGTAAAATCCTAATTTGATGATGTTGACATATTCAGTCTACTGTAGCCAGTTCATTACAGCTAATCCATCAAAACTGGACATTCAGTGGGAACCAAAAAGAAAAGGAAACAAACATTTGAATGTGAAAGAGCAGAAACACAAATGTACATTTCATAGTAGTTTGGGATTGGACCATGTGGTAAAAGACTGTGGAGACAAGGACCTCCAGATGTCTCTAAGTCATACACTTAAATTACATCATCACTTGCTTCACTATTTGATCTCCCTGAGCCTGGGAGCCATCTGACAAAGGGAAACATTATGAAAGTTAAATGTTTTAACTAAAGGAAAGAAATTAAAAGTAATTGGGAAATTTCCAGAAAAGGACAATTATGAAACGTTGTTGAGATCCGACGTAGGCCTAGATGTACAGTATGTCCATGTGTACAATGTGTGTGTAGGCCAGAGGCTTGGGTAACGTATTATGGATATGTTGGCACAGAGGTGGCTCAGAGAGCACCTCCACCGGTACGAGAGGAGTAATCAGTGCAGCAGAGGGCTGTTGGCTGATTAATCCTCTGGTACAAAAGGCAGCAGCAGGGCTGCCGAGGAGGGAAACGTGATGAGAGACACGGTCAGTGCCAAGCTGCAAAGCTTAGATGGCAGCAGAAACTACCGGCACTTTAAGTTGACTTTTTGTGAGTTTGTTGATTTAATAAAAATATGCTGAAAAGCAACGGTTTCGTCTCTGGCTGTGTGTGGAGGACCCCAGTGGCATCGTCAATTGCCACAGTGTCGCCCAACATGGGGCTCTACGCAGCTAGAGACAAGGACCTGCAGAAGGAGATGGCACTTGTACGAGTGGTGGAGGAGTACATGGCCATATACAGGGCAGGCAGCAGTGAACAGACTGTGGCTGGAGGCTCTCCAGAGGCAGGCGGAGAGGAAGACGGTGCTGACCACTGCTGTTCCTGTCTGCAGCACGGCTACGATTCAGGTCAGGCCAGTTGGCTCCTTGACCTGAATTCGGTGATGGGGGCATGTGGAAGTGGATCAGTGAGCACCTCCAGGTGAACCAGGGTGAGGGGATTGGCACAGCTCAGACTAGTTGGCCAATCAACTCTCCCTGTATTCAAAAGGCAGCAGCTGCCACAGAGAGACACACTCAAGGGACACACATGGGAGATACACAGAGACACAAGGACTCAGATACACATGAGCGAAGCTGATAGAGGGGACACACATGGAGAGACTGCCAGCAGAAACTGCTGGCAAGTTTATGTTTAGAGTTTGGGGACTTTATGTTTGACGTCCTGAAATAAAATGTTAAAGCCTGAATGGTTCGTCAATGGCTGTTGTTTCGAGACCCTGGTGGCATTGTTTTATGCCACAGGATAAAACATAAAATCCACAGACTGGACCTCACCTCCTCTTTGTCTCTCTAATACAAACCAGCCACTTTCAATACCTGTGCTGAGATCAGAACAGAAATAAAAACAATCTACAGTCAGATGGCTGTGGCACAACCCGCCCTCTTTCTCTTTTAATCCGTAGCTGATGATATACTGATTTCAGATTAATAATGTGTTTTAATAACCTGCCAATGTTTCCTCTCAGATTTCAAAAAACACTACGTCTGTTGCATTCCTGCCAGTGTAATTACAGCTCCAGACATTTCCCAACAGCTTGAAGGTAAACCTACAAAGTATCACACCTCAGAGTTATCAGCACAGCCAGCGGTGGATCACCTTGTTCTGCCCGGCACTGATGAAATAAAGCAGAATACCATTTGATGAAGCCAACGTGTGCTGACAGGCCTTTCTGATATTTCCCTCACATTCTGCTTTTTCTCTCAAACAGATGAAGACTTAGATATTCATAGAGAAATAAAGGGGAGGGGGGGGGGGGGGGGGGGGGGGGGGGGGGGGGGGCACTATAAAGCATTCCTCTAGTTTAATCTTTGGCTGTCCCACATGAGGGTCTGCAGCAGGGCCAACATCAAAAGTATTTTTTACAGTGTGTGTTACACATCATACACGCAAAAAAATCACACTTGCATAATGGACAGAGTAAGGGAAGAAGAAGTGTGTTGAAGATTTTCATGAAGAATACACAGAGGCAGAGTTACAGCTTTTATAACCTTTGATAAACAATATAGCTGCCAGTACTAACGTTTCTGTGTGCATCCTTGTATGTGTTTGTGTGATTTGTATCGTCAAATGATTGTAGTTGGTTCAAGTTTAAATGTGTTTATTAAGTAAACATGATTCACCAAGTGAGAGCAGGTCAGAGTGGAGGAGGACACAGAAACTCCAGCTTCAAACCAACCAAAGAGAAACTCTGTATTGTCACTGTTGGTTTCCACTGTTCTTCAACAAAACCACTGACCTGCTTCACGTGAACGCTCCTCTCACCTCTGTGAGTGAGTGGGTGGGGGAGGAGCCCCCGGGCCTGTGTGTGTGTTTTCGCCTGCTCCTGGTATTTCTCTTGATTAAAAAAATGAACGTGAACACGAGTGGTGTTCACTCCACGTTCATCATTTGTAAACTGATTTGTTCAGTTCAGTGTTCAATGAAGATGTTCATGCACAACACTGGTTGCAAAGGTGACAGATTTATAGGATCTGAAGAGAAACAAGTCTGAGTGTGGGTGGCTTGCCCTTGTAACAGGTGTATGTACTGCCATTCAACCAAACAAAGAAGAATAAGCCGATATCAAGTATGAAACAGGGAGAGGAAGCAGATCCAGTAGTGATTATGTATTGTTGAGTGGGGTGTTGGCGAAAGAAGGCTTTTATTTAGAAGATTTTCACTGCAGGTTTCAGTTAATCACACCCCCAGGCGCGACTTTGCCGTCCCCCAGTTGTGATGGTGAAAACATCCGGACTTTATTCCTGTAAACAGCTCCATATCCTGGAGCTGTAACCACCACAGAGCTCTGTTTAAGTGCGGACCTGATGGTGATTAAGAGGCAATAATTACTCCAGTAAACAGATGCAGTGTTCTGTTGGCAAATGTGACGGAGGGCAATCCCCTGAAAATGTTTTCTCACAATCTCCTTTGCACAAAGGATGTATGGGTATCGATGGGCATTAGATATTAAAGCATTTCCAAACACTTCACTCATATTATCACTGAGCCACTGGGATTGTATGTTACATAGATGCATCAAAACAATTTTCTATTGCCTGTACTTCTCATGAGAAAAGTGCTGTTTGCTTCTATCTGATGTGTTACTCGGCAACATTGCACCCAAATACTCATACCGAGCAAGAGAGGAGATGTCTGCAACATTAGCCACTGTATTAAGCCAAAACTGGAAGGTTCCCATTGCAGTCTCCAGTGGGTGTCCATTTCCTGTTACAAAAGCCTCAACAACACTGTCTCGAAGTAAAACAGTTTTTCCAATCAATCATGAGTATAAGCTCTCAGGACAGGGCAAATCAGAGCCGCAGCATGAAGAGAAAACCAACGAGGACGATTTCCCCCTGGACCTTAAAATTAGACAGATTGAGTACTGCTGCTTCAGCCAAATGTTCGCCGTGAAAACCCCAGACTATATCTCACTCCTCAAGATTTTTGAATTCACCATCAAAAGAAAACAGTGGAATACAGAGCCCCAAAGCAGATTTTACTACGTATGATGCTATAAAAAAAAAGGGTTTTGTGTGACTTTTCTTGCGTTCACTTATTTTTTCCATTGCAGTAAAATCCAGACAAGTTCACATAGATCCACACTTCTTCCAACCTCCTGTTTACTATGCTTACATTTGACCTTTGACCTCTCTCTGTTGAGGGAAAACGTTAGCTTTCTTCTTACTCTTTCAACGCATGAACGCACACACACACACACACACACACACACACACACACACACACACACACACACACTCACCCACCCACCCACACACACACGTACACCCACACACCATTTCTGATAGGCACAACCAAACTTTTGATGTCCCTTGAGGGATGTTTAGATGGAATCCAGATGTATTGAAAAAAAGCTGCTGCTTCCTCCCTCAAATACACACACACACACTGAAGGAGAAGATATAAAACATGCACAGTGGATCATTTTGGCTTGTAATTTGTTGGCTTGAATCATCTATAATGCTTAAATTTGAAAAATAGACCAGGGTCTGTTAGCAATTCTGCATAAAAATAAATGTTTGGGTGTTTTGTTCCAAAACGTTCCATCTTTTACTGTTGACATGTGTGTACCAACTTTGTTTGCTGCTATAGAGCCTTACCGAAACAATGATTAAAAGGTTGAACCTCTTTTACAACTTTGGTTTTACCAGAGATGCAAAAGCATCTGTGTCTGTTTTTTTCCAAATGGTTAAATGTTTGTAGATGTTATTTTTCTCAAACCACTCTTTTCCCTTTCTGCAAAGCAGGATGGATGAGAACTACAACATTGTCCCTCATGGAGTGAATTTCCAGGACCCCATCTTTCCCGACACTGCAGACAATCATCGCATGTTTGCCAGCCTCTTCCAGTTTTCCAATTGCACGCCCGGCACTCAGGTCCACACCTTCACCCCAGAGTGGGAGGCTCAGGAGGACAGCAGGGTACGTGGCTGCTCGCAAACACCAGCATAGACCAGTGATAAAATGTCTGATTCTTTTGAAGTTGTCTGTTTCACATTCAGTGTGGACGTCTATTGTTAGTATAATACATATTCACACGCACTCAAAGGAAAGAGTTCAATAATCCTGAATAGCACGAGTATTGTGGTGCACACAAAAAAGGAGTCAATATTACATGCTGTTGTTTTCAAAGGAATATTACAAAGAGGCTGGCAAGCTTAATACGTTCTTAAGGCATGGCAAACCAAATACACATTTCCCGAGGTTTCAGTGGGACAAAGAACTCACTGTGTTTAAAGGAATAATTTCATTATTTACAATGCTTTGGTAAACCATGTTGGTTTTTTAATAGAATATTTTCTAATGCTCAAAGACAAAAGATCTAATGTTTGACTGACATCATATGGAGATAATAGTTTTTGACTGGTTATAACACTGTCAGACTTATGGTGGAGTATGAAGAGAAGTATCAATGGAACCATATCGTCATTACACATTCTTTTTTTCTTTGTAAAAATCTAGTTCCTACTTGACCACTATTGACTACATGGACAAGCATGTGTTAATCAACATCTTTTTATTTTGTTTTATTTTATGCGTTATGCACTACTTGTCAAATGGAGGGATGCAGTATGGGTAAAAAATATCAGCCGCTATGGTATCAAATAGAATTTAGAAACCAGTAACTATCACTATTATTTAGCTGAGAAATGTATTGTGGCCTAAGTTATAAAGCTTGTTTCAATGTAAGGGAAGTGCTGGGCCTTGGCAAAGGTATGCACTTTACTGATTGCAGTTCTGATTCTGAATAAGACATAATTTAGATTATGATGTTTACATCTAATGCCATTGTTATTCCTCTTGCATGTTACAGACCATAGTGTGATTATGACTTATGTCAACATTTTGTGTCACCACTTTACGTTTATATCCAAACAGTCGTCATACAGTTGGTAACTGACGGACAAAACCATCTCAAAGTGCTGTGAAAACCTTTAATAGGATGTTATAATGTGATTAACATGTAAACATGTTTTCATAATGAAACAAATGTAAGAATCATAGATTTTATTTAAAAGACAGTTTTCACAATTTATTGATTGAACAGTTGATTGATTTAAATATTACACTTTGGATTTATCAATAATGAAAATCATTATTAGTCGCAGCCATCAGATTAAATGAATCACAGAATGACTGGAAAAACCGTAACTTTCTTCTGGGATTGTTTTGAAGGAATTGATGGAAATGAAGTAAATCACTAACTCAATTAGAACCAGGGTATGTGAAAACGCCACAAAATAAATTACGACCCCTAATCACAAAATAGCTCCTGGATTACACACTTGCAGATTGATGAGGAGAGAAACGAAAAGCATGAGAGTATCTGAGAGTTTCTGAAAATCACTAAAGCTTGTTACACACATATTGATGGATATAACATTTAAAGATGACCTGAATCAATAATCATGAGCTCCAGTCATCACCTCCCTGACACTGCCTCATTGATCAAAGCCCATTTGCACAAACACACCTTTGGCAAACACCTGGTTCTCCTTCTCTCTGTAAACTCCATAGTTTCTGAGGCCGCATGCCAGTATATAAATGGTTTCCAGTCACTCACCACTTCTTTATCCCCTTTAATGAATCTAAACCATTGGCATAATCCCCCTGATTTAGGTCATTCCTCTTCTGTCTGTTTCCAATCATTTGCTGACGATTCATAAAAGAAAAAAAAAACCTGCCATAAGTAACGAGAATGAAAACATGGTTTGTATTTCCATTAACAACAAACTTTTGGGTCAGGCCTGTGATTATAATTACGGAGCAGCGTTTAGATAGCAGTGCTATTTCTTACATCATTCTCATGATTAGATTTCCTCTTTGAAAAATAAAAACAGACGGGTTTTTTTTGTGGCACAGAGCAACCGTTGTTTGGACAAAAAAAACATGAGCTCACATTAGAGCAGATCATGCTACATGCATCACATCATCCAAACCACGGTAAATCAAATGGCCTGTATTCATCATAACATTTATCAGCAATAAAACTAACAAGCTGGGTTTTCTTACAGTTTTCGTTTCGACAATAATGGAGAAATATCAGCTGTGAATGGTTGCTGAGACTCTCCCAACTTGTCAGCAGCACACTGAGACAAAACAAACTGCTGCTCATGTTGTAAAAATTTCAGTGTCTATTAACGTGGTGCAATAAAGTTTTATGTTAAAGCACAGGATGCACAAGCATCCATCTGCTTTTCCTTAGAAAGGTTTCCTCCGAGATGGGAAAGAACAGAAGCTTCCGTCCTGCAAAAAGATAAAATAGATCAGTATAGATCACATCAAAGTTAAAGTCCTGTTGAGGGTGCACCACATGGATCCTCTTTGGTGCCTGAGCTTTTATAGATTTGGGCATTTACCTGGCAGGGGGGTCTACAGAGTTGCATTGTGGGGAATGTGGGACCTATGTGTTTTTGGAGCTTGGAGCACACTAGAATTAAAAAGGTCAATATTCCCTCCTCAGCTCTCCCTTTTTTATGATAATCTGTCTCAGTGTCATGAAGATGCAGAAATAAATACATAATAATAAATAAAAAGTGAATCACTTGATAAAATCTTAGTAATATCAGTTAAGAAACTATAAATGTTTTTGACTAGTGGTAAATACTCACTGCTGTATTTTATATGACAAGGTGTATTTTTCTTCACTGACAGAGAGATTTAATTACCACTAGTACTTTAAATATCTATATTTATCCCAAAAAAAATGCTCTCAATCAAAACTTGTAATGTTATATCTCATCTCTGCTGCTCTGGATGCCTGACCCATGCTTCAGCGTCTCACCTGATTGGTTGCTGTTTCAGCAATATTAACTTTACGAAACACAACTTTTTTTGTTTGCGCAGTTGGCTCATGGAATAATATGAAAATCACAATGTTACACAAATGGTACTTTTGTACTTTTTATATAAATCTCAGGAGAATCAGTCTCATGACAATATGCCCATAAAGGTGGATGTCTTAATGCCAGACATGTGGTATCAACAAGTGTTCTCAACATGAGGGCATTATACTATGTCCATATGAGGCTTATAAAAGAGGCAGGTTTATATTGTATGTCTGTATCATTATTGGCTCCAGACATTTTCACGGACAATTACATAAGTATTCATCTGCATGCATGAAAATAGAAACCAACTGGAGGTGTCATGTTTAAATCATACCTGAGTGCAAAAAACTGGGATTTCTCATTTTCTGCTTTACATAACTTGATTGTTCTGCTCTTATTCTTCAACTTTTACATTATAAAGTTATATATCCCATTCAAATCCCTATGGGACATAAGTGAGAGCACATGGGAACAGTCTGAGGCTTATATTACAGAAAGTAATGTACTAACCAGTGATGTGGGCCGGCAGCCGGCAGCACATTTTTAACATTTCCTCAAAACCCTCAGCGGTTGTTATCTGATGGTGGGGAATTTACATCAGTGTTTCACGCTGGCCCATGTGGAAGCGTTAGGATCTGTGGAGGAAATCCACACTCAGGCAGACAGGCATGCAGTCACAGGCATCTGGAGCTCATTTTTTTCACCTAGGAAAGGTCCGGGCCTTTGGATCATCTGTCGAAGGTTCGCAGGCATGTTGGGTTTCATCTCACAGTGGTGTATTATGAAACAGAGAAGGTTGTCTCCACACTTTCCTTACCTAAGATTTAACTCTCCTCCATATCTGGAACTACAGTCTGAAACTAAGCTAAGTTATCTTTAGTTGGTTCACAAAAAAAAAAAAGACTTACTGTACATGGCAACGCTTAAATTCTTTAGATATGTTGTTTCCACAGACTGTTCCACTGCAAGAAGGTCTAATTTCAGAAATACTTAGTGATTATTTTCATGACTTTTTCCTTCTGTTCTCTTTCCTTTTAAGGCTTAAAGTTTTTTTTTGACTCATTCATATACAAACAGTGGGATATGCTGAAAGACCTATGAGCTTTTGGAACTAGTGGTCTGCCAAAAGAGCAGGCCAGCAATTTTCTCAACATTTAGTATCAAAGCAGCATATCTGTCAGGTCTTACGTCATAAATGTAACACAAATACATCAAATCTGACATCTGTATTTAGTGCGAGCCATGACGGAATAAAAAGTATAATTTCACTCAAATGGCACAGAGGGAAATCTTGAGTAAAGGTTGATCCTGGCCTCTTTAGAGCAGCAAATTGCAAAGAGCAACCTGAACCTCAATGATCAGTCATTTGTGAGGTGCCAAACTTTGGTTTGGAAGCTGAGAATGACTTTCTTTTTTTTTTTTTCAAAACACCACAAGAAATATCCAACTATGACGATAAATCTAATCCTCAGTGTTGCAAAGGATGTGGTGAAAAAGGAGACTTTCCCCACATTTTTGGGGGTTGTCCTAAATTACACTCTTAAGTTAAATAAGGAAATAGGAGAAATTCTGTACTTAGACCACTGAAACCACATGAGTTGATTTTAGCTGACACATCTCTAAGAGGAACAGGGGGATATATATATATATATATATATGCTCAGAGCGCTTGCGTTATTAGTCCAAAATTATAGGCTAACACTGGAGGCTGTGAACTGTGTGGAAACATGAGCAACTGTCGATGCTTCTTTAGAGAGATGGTCTTCTGTTGTGTTAAACTTAGCTAATAAGTGAACATATACTGTAAATCTTTATATATATATATATATATATATATATATATATATATAATGGAGGGTTAATGTTTAATTATGTTTAAACTCTGTCTTATGACTTTGTATCATACACGGTAAAGATGGAAAAGTGAAGCCAAAGCATCCTGATTGCCCCTTGGTGGCTGCAATATATAGGTCATAAATCCTGCCTCTTCCATTTTAGTGAACCGGACATGGATCAAATTAAAAACTCAAAGTGCAAATAAATATAAATAGTCCTCAAAGATGTTATCACACTTGTGTATAGTTAAGCACAAATGTTTCCAGTAAGTTTGGTTTTAACTAGCTCTGAACTAAAAATGCCTTTTGAATGAGAAATCTTCAAGAAACACAAGCAAGTCCTGTTGCCCATGTACATTTGTACAACTTCTGAAGAGACTACGACCTGGATGACTGAGAACAGGGTGAAAAGTTATGACTGACAGCTGAGACGGACTCATGGACTGAAGAGTGAGGGCGGGACAAGCTAGTGACGCGATAAGAAGACCAGACCCTATGATTTCGGTTCCACCGACGTGGTCTACACACCCTGAATTGAGACACAGCTTCTGGCTCCAAATTTAAAAGATGGCAGAGTTCATATCCAGGATATTTTGGTTTTAATATCTGGATGATTTTATATACAGTCTATATTGTTAGTAACTCCATCATAGCAACACTACAGGTGGATGAAAATTTGCATGAGAAATAGAGGTTTTAAATAAGCAATTTGGCTGTACATTTTTAAATGGATTGTATTTACTGTATACATCTTCTTCTCTTCACAGTTGCTGTGCTCCACGGTGCAGAAAGCCCTTTTCGAGGAGGAAGAGAGGGTGAGGACTCTCTCCCAGAAGGTGCGGACCTTGGAGAAAGCCAACGGCCATCTGCGCGAAAAGGTGAAGACCATGAAGCGTCTGCTGCGCCAGGCCCAACGAGAAACCTCAAAGGAGCAGCAGACCCTCAACCTCAAACAGCTTTACGAGTCGAAGACACCCCATCCGGATCAGGACACTACCCAGGACCAGAAGAACCCTTCACCCAAAAAGGTCCTTTCCAAGAAGCTGAAAAACTAAACTGTTCTATTGTTGTTAACCCACTTTCACTCCCTATGAAGCATCAGTGACAGAGCAGAGTGGTTGAAGGGGGGGGGGGGGTGACACAAGCAAGGAGTGGATGAAAGTAACAAATTTGACTTCAATTACAATTTCATTCCTATTTAATATGTTTATTTAAAAAAGTAACACATTTCATGAAACCCCAGCTGAACAACCTGTTGTCTTTATTTCCTGGTAAAACCTGGGCCAGTAAAACTATTCTGTACAAAAAGTTGGGGCCATTAGTCCAATATGATCAGTCCCTCTGCAGTGAACTGTCACCTGTCTCCATTAGATTCATTCAGTGGCAGCACAATCACTCTCCAAACCTTTCCAAACATTACAAACTGGCAGATGAATTGTTGGATTATGTGGATAATTTTTTAAGCATTTGAAATTAAGGATCTCTTCTTGATAATTCGTTTTTTCTCTGTGCTGGACACATAATGCATTGTTTAAATGTTGCAATTGAATTTCTTATTTCAGAAATATCACTAAAATGCTCCACATCAATGTAGAGGAATCTGTCTAATCTTCCGGTCTGAAGAGCACAGGATGGAGTTTATCCCTTCTCCTCTGAAGAAACACACATGCTTTGACTGTGTATATGAGTGTACAGACAGAAGAGCAACTGTGGCAAAGATAAAATGCTGCAAGACCCACTATTCTATCATCAGTCTTTTCTACCTTTGCCTGGTTTTCATTTTATTTTCCATCTATTTATACCCTCAGAAACTAGTTATTCTTTACATTCAGTGAACTGCTTCCCAAGAGTGAATTTTTTCAATTTCTTCTACATGTAACACAAATTGTACTGAATGAAAACACGGTGCTGAGCACCCATTGAGTCCAGCCAATGAGCCTGGCGTGGTACAGGCTTTTTCTGTGTCAGAAATGAGAGTTTGCTTCATTATACTTTCTATATTTGCTTTTGTTATATATATATATATTTTTGTGCTTTCTCTAAACTATAAACATGTGGTTTGCTTTGCCAATAGCATAATCATTTGTGTTACCAGTCATTGTAGTTTCTTTTTAATAAATAAATGAACTTTTACAAGACTTGTGGATGTTTTTAGGTGTCAGTGATTTTAACCTGCAAATTAATCGTATGTTTGGTTTTCAGTGTCATTTCAAAGATTGCAAATCGTTTCCCAGTGTGCTGTTATAATAATATCTAAACTAAACCCGTTCTGCTTCATTTATTTTGTTCATAGATGTTATCCTTATAAATGTTCTAAAATCACTTTCTTCCACAGTGTCGATAAAAACAATGTCTAGACAAACAGCAGTACAGCAACTACTGCAACAGCTGTGATCGATTCAAGTAAGTTTCAAATGTCAATGCAACGTTTCCTGTTTTCCGCATAGCCAAGTCAGAAATGATAAATGTTTTCTGGAATGCACAATATTTTAGTGTGATTCAGCACTGATAAATCAAAACTTAAAAAAAAAAATGTTTTCAAAAGCAATATAAATCCTAAAAATATAAAAGGGTCCTATTTTGACCTCTTCCTGTCAAACTCCTGTCTAGTTTAAGTCTGCTGCACTTTCACTTAGAACACAGGAACATTTCAGACACGAAATCCTCTTGGCAGATGGAAATTTCAACACAATTTCCAGGAGAGCTGAACCAAATTTCTTCCATATGGTGCTGTTGCATGAAACCAAGGGGACGAGGGGCATGGTTTTCATGTCAGACAGAGAGGAAAAACCAAAAAATAAACACATCTTAAACACATTTTATGTCGGGAGCTCACCCGCTGCATTTATCTGCGGTAGAGCAGGATATGAAAGGGACATTTACAAGTTCTTGCCTATCTCTTTGACGTCGGAGAAAAGTGCTGCAGGGAACAGCTCCACCCTCCACATCTTGTCTCCTCGTTGTTGTCTTCTTCGCCCAGTAAAACCTTTGCAACCTTTACGACCTTGCCTACAGCCAACTGTCAGAGTCCCATGGACTCCGGCCAAAGATGATATACACACGCTGCTCTCTCAACATAAACCACCGTGCACAGCCAAGCTGCAAAACAGATGTCAAGCAGGAGGACTGCACTGTGGTGGTCCTTTCCAAAGGACGTGGCTATATGTGGACATGGTTTATTTACTTTGTCTTGTTTCATGTTTACTCTTCTCTGGATGCTCTGATTCCATCTTTTTTTGTATTTTAGTCCACAGCATCTGATTTGCTGATCGTTTTCTCTTCTTATACTCTTCTCTTTTCTACTCATATTTCAACTACACTGAGTCTTTCATATTCCTCAAAGAAATCCATCACAGCAGTTTCTCACTTTGTGCATTGATTCTCTAGGTAATTATTTAGGTCTTCAGTAATGCAGATTCTCCCATGTTTTTACAGTAGCCCAGAACAGACCGCACACCGGCTTGAGAGTATTTTGCATTTTTTTAGTTCATGTCCTAAACCCCTCAAAGGGACGGGTGAGGCTCAGGGTATTTAGTTGATCACAATATGCTTTTTCATTGTTAGATGTCACTAAATTCTCTACAAAACATATAAGAATCAGGAGTGAAAACGCCTCAGAGAGTAAAGAAACTACACTCAATGCTCACATTGACGATGCGAGTATGCAGATGTTTTGCAGGTATCATCTTTATCATATAGGCCACCATCTAAATTCAAAGGGCTAGCATGCTTACATTTGATTTTAGCAGCAAACACAAGTAGTCTACTGCTGAGGCATAGGAAATGTTACGATATTTAGCCATGAACCCACATGCAAATTAAATTTGAATAAAAAAAGATGATTAAATTTGTTTTCAGCTGCCGTGAATGTCTCCATCAAATTTCTTTGATATCCACTGGCTAGTTTTCAAGGAAAAAAAACACAAATGTCAACCACAAAGTGGCACTAAAGGAAAAGTCAGTGTGGGAATTATCCTTTGGGGACCATGAATTTAAGCTGATCAGGACTATAACGATGGACCAACCCAGCTGCCACACAGCCACATTGCTGGTGTGGTTAAAAAGGGGACATACTCACAACTGCTGAATCATTCGAGTTCAAGCATTGCAAGAAATTTGATATTTTGTCCCGTTCCAGAAAATACGAAATACCTTTTCTCCTTCTTCTGAAAATCCCCCAGCACATCTGTGAACACGGCTTGGATTTGAGTGGAAACGTTTCCTCATCGTCTCGTCACACTTGACCAGCTGTAGCCTCTTCTGGCACAACAGATTTTTCATTGTTGTCTGTCCATGTCTCTTTCAATAAGGATGACTGATGTGTGTGTTTGCCTTCAGAGACTGTTCTGCTGTTGCTGTCTGGCAAAGCTCACAGTGCCAATCACAATGCCTAACCCCCCTTCCCCTCGGTTTTGTAAGATCCAACTTTGGACCATAGGGAGGCAAATGCAGCATCTTGGCGAGCCAACGGGTATGAGCTCAGTAATTTAATTCCTTGGCTCAGCCATGGCATGCAAAAAAGGTGATGGGTCACACTTGAGAACTTATGTTCCCCTCTGGTTTCACTGTTGTTATTTTACTCAGTGAATTAACTTATCATGAGACTTAAGTTAACTTAATTCAGACTGAAAGTGACTTCATTACTAACAAGTTCTTCTGACTGTGGCATTTTCTTTTCTATCCATCCCCTTCTTTCCACCACTTAGCGAAAGGTAGACTGCAGTTTGTACCTTCAGTGACAATCTACTTTTTTCCTTCCTTGCTTCCTTCCTCCTTCTCGTTACATCCTTCACTCATATTCTTTCTTTGTCTGGTTGGTTGAGGAGGTCAAGAAGACAAGCAGGAGGTATTCAGGATCTCATTTGTTTGTTGTTAACACTACCCTTAATGGTTACATGTGGGGAAGTTTGGTTTATATTGCCATATTTTCTACTCCATATGTTTACATCATATTTTAGTGATTGTTCAGGGGTTGAGGCTTTTCTTTTTCATTCTGGACCTGAGTCAAAGAGTTCTGAGAGAGGAGCATCAAACTGTGGCTTGTTTTTTTGTAAATCCCCCAGTTGTTTAAAGTACTGGAGACAGATGTTACTACTTTTGATAAACATAGACATTGCATGCAAGTTTTGAGTATAGTTGGTACTGCTGGTGCTTCAGATTTGATGGAGAGCTGCAATATCACTAACCGAACAAGGAGAGCGAAGGTTCTGAGCAAGAGAGTTATGTAAACCTCTAAACAAGACGAGGGTAAAAACCCAGTACATGGCTGGAGGTAACATTGACATAAAGTTGACATCTTTGTCATAGCTCATCCATGAAATCTTGCCACACTGCTGTCTCTGTGAACAGAAGATATTGGCAAACACCTGAGAGAATTGGAGCAGCCAACAGAAAAGTGCCAAACTCCCTGATGATGTAATTGTGAATGCAAAGGCAAATTAGAGAAGTCCAATAGTGACCAACGAGGTAACTCACTCACTCACTCACTCGAGCCACCTATATAAGGTATTATTCGAATGATTTATATGCAGTAGTAGTTTCAGGAGTTTCTAGGGGTAAAACACCTTCAAAATCAAAATCAAAAACAAGTTATACCTTCTCAAGCATTTGTAAGTCAGGTTTGCTGGAGGCTGTCTCAGCATGGTCTGAGGCAGAGTACATCCTGGTTGCAAGATTATCTGATGTGTATATACACACAACCATTGACACTGACAGACAATTAAGTCATAAATTAGCTTGAATCACTTTGTATAGTGACAGGAAACCATAGAATCCATGAGGTATGAACTTAAAACCTTTTTACTGTGAGGCAACAGTAATCACTGCACCATTACACCACTGCTCCAGATGTTATACGGTGTAATGGATATGCAGTATATGCAGCTGTACACTATTGTCTATCACATAAAGTGGGATTAATGTACAAATAGAAACAGAAATGACTCATTAATTGCATGCACAGGACAAAGCAGAAAATGCTTTGAGAGATTTTTGTTGGAATGAAAAGATGTCTTGAAATCAATATTGTTATTGTTATTGTAAGTTCCATTCGACATGAGTCACTGGGCATGTTAGAGCAGATTTAATTTGCAGTTCTCTTCATCAACAGCACCTCCCTGCACCTCAGTACAATTTTGCATATTAAGCCAGAGCATGTTCTGTGAACATAAATTACTTTGTGAGAAAACAGTTAAAGGCATAACCCTGCAGTCTCCACATTGCACGGTGTATGTGTGGTGAAGGACTTAATAAATCTGGTTGCTGGCTGAAGCTGGTTTTGTTGTGAGGGGAACCTCTTTGCATTGGACCTAATGTTTAATGGTGGAACAGAATAATGGGTTTGAAATAAAGGTTTAGGAGCCAAAACCTATATGAACATGTATATGGGTTAGGGGTTATATATATATTATCACCAAATGAAATTCATAAGAATAAAACATTGACAAAAATAATAATTCATTACTAATGATAACAACAATACTACTACTACTACTACAAATAATAATAACGGTAATGGTAATGATAATGATAATAAATACAATTGGGGGCTCAGGGTCATAGCAGTATGGAGCATATTTGATGTGTTATGAATGCAGGTAAATTGGCTATAAAAGGGCTGTTACCTGATCTTAAGAGAATTCAAGGGCTTTTATTGTGACTATTTATATATTTTCTATTTCCATCCACCTGATTATTAATCCTAAAAGACTGTTTATAAGCTCCTCCATCTCCAAGATGAAAGAACCATCTGGGTTAATTTCAAGCCTTTATGTAAACAAGACCCGAAATCAGCGAAAGCATGAAAAGAAGAATACTCACTGGTGAGTGGGTCATGGAGAATGAATGAATGAATCTGAGTTGCAGGAAGTCATTCACAGAGACACACACATGTCTTTAGGCAACTTTGAACCCCAGACTGACCCCAGAATTCCTCTCTGTGTCCCGCAAAAGCAGTTAATCCCATTAAATGTTCAAGGTGTGAAAAAACACACTATCCTGCCTCGTTTCATGTTTTCCTCCTGACAGTGTGTTTTCCCTCTCAGCTGTAGTCGGGGGTAAATGTCAAGCACAGGCCTCTATTCCCACAGCAAGTAACATGGATGTCAAGTCCCTTGTGCTGTTCGATCCTAATTCCAGGCTGAAATTTCCCAAAAGTGGAAAATTAGTGGGTCTCGTTGCACTGCCAGATACTCCCCCCCTATGTTTTCATCCTACTCTCCATTTTTTTTTTATCATTACCAATTGTGGTTGGCACAGTCATGCAGGACTTTGAGGCTCTGCAACATTTTCATTTTATGCAGTGCTTTGGCTTCAGTATACTCTATGCTGAGCTGTGCACATGCTGAGATTTCTTTGGTTTAAGACCCAGCTATTGAATATATGCATAAAACACTTTCACATCTTCTCTCCGTCAAACTTCTGGCTGAAATGAGTCATTGAGAGTGAACGTCACTCATCTCCAGAGCACAAAGAGGACGGTGATCTCACTGTAAAGTTTCTGTCTCATGCCCGCTGCTGTGCTCCAGCACCTCAAGGACTTTCTCAAACTCAATCAACCTGGTTGAACTCCTCAAACAATGTGAGATCACAGGGTCAAGCAGAAGTGGAACTGGAAAATCCTCATGAATTAATGGTTTTTGTCTGTTTTCCTGTGCTTTGGTCCAAAGAAAATATTTGGCCAAGATGCCCTGAGCTATCTGACGCTGCCTCCAAAACCAACGCACGACTAAGATACAAGGGAAAAAAATCTCAGCTGTTAGTTAAAGAGGTGTTTATTTAGTATTTTGTCCATAAATCCACTCTAAATCTGTCCATACAACTGTTTGTTACTCAAGCTCTAAAGCTGCATGTCTTTTCTAAAGAGAGGGAGAGAAAGAGAGAGAGAGAGAGAGAGAGAGAGAGTTTAGTTAAAGAGTTTGTGAAAAAGAAAGCCAAAGTCTTTGCACATAATTCAAACCTTGTGCAAAATGCAGCTACAGCATGTCATGTGGCATTATGAGATGCTGGTGGAGATTAAATGCTGGACATCCTCCTGAATATAAACAACATATCTGACGAGACACAGCATGTCATTGAATTTGTTGGTACCTCCACCAGAGAGGTTATGTTTTCATTTACCTTTTGATCCGATGAGATTTTGGTGGCAATGCTGTGTATTTAAATGCTGATGTAATTCCTTCACTCATTAACATCAAAAGAATGTTTGGCTCATTATTCTCAACTCTGAAGTGTAAAAGATATTTTTTTTACTGCACACAACAAAAACATTGCTTTGCTTTTAGGTTTTACATTTACTGTGCACCATTTAACATACAATGCCACAATTATTTAAAGCATAGTGCAATTGCTGCCATATGTGCAACCATGGATGATGTGAACATTTCCCACTGAAACATAACAGCAAAATCCATTAAGTTATTGGAGATAGGGTTGACATGTCACAGATCTGACATAATTATCACTTTTACAGCAGTAGGTACAATAGAACATGATCAATTTTTAGGATCCACTGACTTTGTAGTAACCCTAATTGATTCAGGCTTTAAGTTATAATTAGGAAAATTATTACATGGCCACTTAAGTTTCCCTTTTCTAAATGTCCACACTGACCAGTCTTCTATATTTACCACATATTCACGTCAGTGTTTGACAGGTAATGATGAATGGAAAGTGACAAGCTTTAACAACTTGTAGAAACTATCTATAAATGGACATGTTGAAGGACGATATGGACATAGCACTGACAGATATTAGTACAATAATAAGCCTGCTGGCAGCGTGTGTGTGTGTGTGTGTGTGTGTGTGTGTGAGCTTGGTATGCACACAACATGTTTCACTTCTACAACGTATGCTCCTTTTCGAACAGAAAATTAAATGTTAAACTATGTTGATTTATGTAACTGAATATTTAACTTGTTATGTTTAAACACCTTTGAAATAAAACAGAAAAACCAGATACAATAGGCCACCTTGGATCTGAGGGTTAGCAGGACAGAAACTAAATGAGACCAAGACTACTTTTAGTTGTCGATCCACAAATTTGGTCCACACTGAAATATCACAGTTATTGGGTGGATTGACATGAAATCCTACACATACACTCATGGTCCCAAGAGGTTGACTCCATCTTTCCCCTTGAGCTGCTGTGAGATTCAAATGTGCGGTTTCAAGTGAAATGGCTCAACAACTGTTGGATGTATTGCAAAACGTCTCCCTACCGGAAGACTTAAAGCAGCTGTTGTTTGAAACCAGCATTCACAGCAGTTGTGCTACAGATGACAAATCTGTGCAGACTTCCCCATCAGCAATTTGTTTTCAGTGCTGATGACAGTTTTTAATTAGTGACACCGCTCAGATAAATAGCAGTGGTTCACTGTGTCAGGACTATGGTTCACATTCCATTCAAGCATGGGCAGCAGCACTCCAAACTCACACAGAGAGGAAGATGTGGACGAAGCACGATCTTCATCAGCTGCTTTTGTTTAGCGGAGAAATTAAACCCATTCGTACAGATATTAAAAATGCAGACCCACTCTCCTCCTGTCCCATCCCCAGTTAGTTGTACTGTTCCACACGATGCTAAGTCTCACCCTTTAATTAGTTTTCCCCCTCTTCCACATCTAAACACTGCCTGCATCTTAAAGCACTCTCTACCTTGTGATTCATGCAATTTCTCTCCCATTATTTTGAATCAGTCCCATGTTTCTGGTTTGACCGCATCATTTTTACTCTCTCCACTGTCTCCTGAATGAGGTCGACCACCAGACTCCTGCTCGCTTTCCCTTTCTCCGCTCTCTTCCAATGCAGCCAAACCACAAGCCTCAATTACCCAGCATTCCTCAGAGAGGACCAGAGAAGCCTCAAGTAGCAGAGAATGAAATTAACATTCATGACAAACCTCGTAAGCCACAAAGCTGTTTCAGAGATCAACACTCGCAGAAATTCTCCTTTGAGAAAAGTATCAGTGCAAATGTTTTAAAATAATTATAGAAAGAAACAGAAAAGAACTGTTACGAGACAAAGATATAATAGTAACTCCATTCTGGTGAGACCAGAATTTAATTGGACACTTATTCTACCATGTTAAGGAAGGTTCCATTTCCCGTTTTTTCGGATGTGTTTGTGCTTTGAAGTCAGAATATGGAACAAACATGGACGCCGTAAAAACAAATGTTGTATTTATGTTTAGAGCATATAGACAAGACCTTCTCCCCATATGTATGCAGTTTAATGGCAAGTTCATTATGTCAATTGGCTTATAAATGATGACCTCAGCAACTCTTTGATGACTTTCTGAGTTGTTTTTCTGACTTGAGATGAGTTTCTGATTATTGGATGCACAGTAAGTCTGCAGCTACAACAAAACAGGTAAAACCAAATGGCTGGTTAATTTACGTTAGATGAAGAAAACCACTTTGACTGATGCTAAACTGTTTTGCCTCAAGGTGTTTCCTGTATTTGAAGTAGCCCAAGTGACAGGCTAGTTTTGGTGAACTAAAATCTTAAAATGAGGAAAAACAGTGAGCTTACCTAGTCCTACTGATTTAACAAGCCTATTTGAGCCAAATAGCTATAATCTTAGCATTTTACTGCGGTTGAGCTCCTATTAAACTGTCCATTTAAATGCATTGAAGTGTTAGTTAAGTTATGTCCATTTACAGGTTGTTTCTTAACAGCTTTGTTTTGTGTTGTAAAATAATATATCAGAAAGATGTTAGGGAATAAAGATATCAAAATCACTAATTTCATCCTAGCTATTTGTTGTTTGACTTTTTCTGGTTGTGCATTAGGCATTGGCTCAATATTTCTTTCATCATTTATTGCAGTACATGATGTAAATGTAAGGTAAGGACTCTGGTTGGTTCCATGATGCATAGACAGGGATTTTATTGTATGTTTCACTTACAAATATGTTCCAAGCACAAATCACTGGCTTTCACACTGAGCAATATTCACTTTTAAAAACCCCCTGATGCATTGCATTCGTGTATACAGGAGGTACCATAGCCCCAAACAGCATTTATCTTAAAGGCAACATATTTATGTTAAAAATACTCATTTATACAACAAATCTCACCCGACACTGGTAATTCAATTAAAAGGAGAAGCCCTCACACAAAGAATCTCTTTGCTCTTTAGGCCGATGCCCTTTAAAACCCACTAATAAAATGCTGAAAAAATGATCACTTTTTAATGCAAAAGCTGTGGCGGTTGAGCATAATATGCCCTGTAGTTATCCAACTCTGAGGGCAAGGTTAGTGAAACTCCTCCTCAACTATAATTCTATTTCACCCCTGCTATTTTCATACCAAGGTGGTTGAGAGATGAGGTCATGGGATATGGTTATATATTTCATAATCGCACTGGAATGTAAAAACCTTTACTTTTCCGTTTCCTGGCTCTTCACCTCAGCAAAGAACAAACAAACGGAATCAATTATCTTTAAAAATCACACTTACTTTTGCCTTGAAATTGTTTTGTAGGAATATAGTGCATTTGTGTATATACTTATACACTTATCTTCAGAAGGTACGGGAGCTAAATTATAGTGCAGGAGACACAGCCAATGATCAGTGTTTGTGACAACAAATCTAGTTAACAGACTTGTTTTCATTACGCATATTAATCCTATTATATAATTAATCATGTATATATTATCAGTCTTCAACATTCATAGGACTGTGTATGACAGCTGCCTCTATGCATGAGCGATCCCATGCTGGACTGGGTGTCTCATTGTCACAGTTAGGACGTACAAACAATTCACGCTGAAGACCACTCTTTTGATTATATGCTTTACAGTTTGTAGTCACCAGTCAAATTACTGTTCAAATACACTACAACGCCAACCTGATGCTGAATAAAGCTGGAATATACTTTTTGAAGCAGCAACACTGAGCTTACTTTGACATGTTGAAATAGTATTTCCACTTCTGTAGCTCTTTACTCATCTGCATGGTGTTTTAAAGACAATCTGACAAAAATGTCTCCTTTTGCCATCACTTTCAGCATCTCTTGGCCACTGTAACATCATCACAAGGAGCACTATTCATTATTAATCATGGGATTCATACATTTCAAGCTACATCATGCAAATATACCCAGAACACATCAATGCTTAAAATCCATCAATGTATTAAAACAGTTATCCTTACAAAGATTAGGATGGAGTAATCAGATGATGGAGGGACCTCATGCAGGATGTCTGTAAAAAGCCCAAGAGGACTTTAACAAATGTGCATAAAGCTCCTCTGCATTTTGTACTCCATGCCTTTCTCCACTACAACAATTCAAAGCATAGGATTCTTTATAAAAACCAATGAAATAACCCACACGGCGCCATCCCTAAGAATGCACTCTGTATTCTCCATTGCAAAGATTGAGTGGTTCAATCAGATACATATTAACATTTTTGTAATCCTGAAAACAGATGCATATCAAATTTTGGCTGCTTTTCTTTTTTTGGATTCACACAATTCCACAGTCAGACTAGTTTTGAGGATAAGGAGGATCACTAAGCATGTTTGCAGGTTTGTTTGTTTTTTGCACAAAATGTATTAAGATACACAAACACATTTTTTTTATAAATAAATGATGCTCTTGGTAGAGCTCACAAGCCTTGAAAACATAATTTTGTAATGCTATTTTGTAGCAATTTAAATTTTAAGTAGATGCTGTGAAAAACAATATGCGGTTGATTGTTATGACAACCGTCACTGTACGTGCACAGGCCTCCTGTCTGAGATTACAGTACTTAACTTTGAGACAAAAAAAGCATAAAAATGCATTTTAAAGCTGAATATGTGACACATACAAAATCTGAAATTACAGAAAAATGTCTGTTCTGCAAGAATGCTGCAGAAAAAGACAAAACCTTTCAGAAGCTACCTGGAAATAAACCCTTTGTACTATATATTTTCCTAAAGGCACCTTTGACAAAGATATATCCCTGTGCTGGAGTGTTAGAAGAGGTTTGGGGGTTGAAAAAAGAAACTGGGGGAAACTTTGAAAAAAGCACAACTACTGCAAGGGAACACTATATCACCAGAAGAAAGGCTACATAGTAGATGGATGGAGTTTTCTTTGCATAAACTATGATGTCACTGATTGTCTAAAAGCGTGACTTGAAGACATACTGTAGTTCTGTAAATTTAACTCTGTTTAATTTCAGTACACTGCAACATCTGTCTTTATCCTCCCTTGATAATCTCTGCACACAACACTCCTTGCATTTTACTCCTGTGATGCATTTCTGCAAAAGATAACAAAACATGCATGTGGGAAATCTAATCTCTAATCATGCAGATGTTGTTTCTGGATTTACACTACAATGTCTAAGAGTCGGAGGTTAAAAAGACAACACAAAAATATACAACAATATATAACAATGAACAATAAAACAAACAAAGAGACAGGTTGAATAAAAAATATGATGAGTAAAACCGTGTCCAACAAGCTCTGTCCTGCTGCAGCAAAAACATTTCACCTGACAAGCTGGTTGAGGAGGAGCTTCTTCACCTCCTCAGCTTCGTCTCCCCCATCTCAACTCATCCCAAACTATCAGAGCCGGTCTGTAAAAATGATTCACTGTGGTGCTTCATCATCATCATTGTCATCAAGTCTCCCTCCTCCTCCTCCTTTTCATCCACCTTCTATGTCATCCTTCTCAGGCTGGAGAGGCTTGCTCCCCCTGCAGGCGACAGGTTGGAATGACACTGTATTCCTAACCAGATAATGGGGCAGATGGTGCCTCTGGTTTCACCGTGGGGGTTAAAATTGGAAAGTCAGTGGGACTGATTAGACAGGTGAGCGGAGCAGGTGCAGGGATCACACCCTGCTGGTCGGGTGGCAGCGGTACGTGCAGTTGGACAGGGGGTCAGCCCCACCGTCAACGTTCTGGGAGCAGCCTCCCTCACAACAAGCCCCTGAGAGAGAGAAAGAGACCAGGCACGTTATCAGTGCTGCTGTTTGACACCGCACATGACACTGCTATATTTACACCTCTCATGACTACGTGTGGGCAAGATAAGCAAAACATTGCAGAGGACAGAAATTGGCTGATACCCTCTTCCTCTGGTAGGGTGGGGTTGGGCCCCTCATGACTGGTGCCTAGCTGGAGACGCCGCATGTGACGAACCACTGCTGTGGCGTTGAACGCTTGCTGCAGAGGAAAGGCCACACAAAAAAACAAACATACAGTAGAATCTCATCATAATCCAGAATATTGATTGTTTTTAATATTTCAGAAAAGTTAATTTGTTCTAGAAAGTTAGTTTCAAGAGTCCATGTATATTAAATGGGATATTAACAAAGCAGAATACACTTCAACAACTCACCTTCCACTTGCTTTTAGCAAAGTTCTTCTTGATCTGAGCACTGACGGACTCATGGATGTTCTTATCCAGAGCAGTGTCTCCAGCAATCCTGACAAAGAGAGGAAACAATGAGTCTCATAAGTGTAGTACAGCGCAATACACAGGTCACCATATTTGTTAAATGGGAAAATTCTCCAAAGTTAAGGAATGATGATTTTAATGAAAAGTGCTCTTTGTAATGTGAATGTGTGATTGAGTACAGGAGCAGTACCAAGGGTGCTGCAGCGCCTGTTCACAAGTGTAACGTGTGTTTGGGTCTTTCTGCATCAGGTGGACTATAAAGTCTTTAGCTGTAGGAAAGAACAAAGATTATATCACTCAAGAGTCAGAACTGGTTCAGTCTATTTATTTATGAAGGAGTAAAAATGTTATGTCAGAATGGATACAGTTTATTAATATAATAATGATTCAGTGTCTAACTGCTGAAAAGTAAGATAAAACATATATTGAGGTCATCCCCCATTAACAGGCCTCCATTAACTGTATCGTTCGTCCTAAAAGCTGGAGGGATCCTCGACCAGAGCAACGACACAAGGATCAAGTCACAGGTGATCTTACTCTTTGATACTTAAAGATAGCATCATTTTTCTGATCATCTTATAAAGAAAGCTACACATATACATTAAGAGCTCAGTAACAAAAAGAGAGTAATGAAGAGAGGGACATTTATGAACCAAACACATATGGAAAATTGGATTGATACCTGAGTCAGAGATGTCGTCCCAGTAAGGAGAATCAAACTCGTACTCTGCCTTCAGGATCTGCTCAAACAGTTTGGCATCATTCTCATCGTAGAAGGGAGGGTAACCACACAACCTGAGACACAGGGGACAGGACAGGTGTCATGTTTCATACTACACGTTAATGTTAAGCATCTGGATTGATTTGCAACATAATAAAGATTTTATGAGTAATAAAATCTTCAATGCAGAAGATTTCAGTCCAATGGTAGTTTGGGTCTGTCTCTTAAATGTGTACTCACAGAATATAGGCTATGACACCAATAGACCAGCAGTCCACTGCTTTACTGTAGGGTTTCTGAGCCAACACTTCAGGGGCTGAGAGAAAAAGGCAAGGCAATGTGGTTAAGATAAAATGATAACCAATATGCACCATTTCCAAATCTGAGTCTATTTATATCAACTACTACCAGCTACAGATATCCACAGAAACCAAAATCAACATTGATGCATCTTCTAGAACACAATTAGCTAACATAACTAACTTCTCTAGACCTGATGACCGTTCAAAGCATTAACAGCAGAGTTTTGCCATTCACCCAATCACACATACAGTGAATCTATCTGTAGCACTTTATCACACACTGTTAGCAGGGGCAATTGGGTTGCAGTGCCTTGCCCAAGAACACTTCGGCACGCAAAGTGACAGAGTCGGGGATGGAACCACCAACTCTTAGATTAGAGGACAGCTCGCTTTATGTCCTGATTCATACTCATAAAGGGTATTCCCATGCCAAGAGTCAAACCCGGGACTCCATGGAGAAACCAGGAAACCTAACCAAATTCGTGCTTCTAGCTAATACTGCATGGAACACTGATTGATTGTTTACAAAGTGATTTTTTGGATTTCGTTACCAACGTATCCAGGTGTTCCACAGGCAGTCGACATCACACTGCCAGATCCCTCAATTTTAGACAGACCAAAGTCACTGATCATGATTTTAGAGTCTTCATCCATGCTGTAGTACAACAGGTTCTCTGGCTGCAAATACAACACGAGAGTTGACTTTAAATTACAGATACTAAGAAAACATTTCTGTTTGGGTGTCAAACTATATCTCTGACTCCTGACTGACCTTGAGGTCACGGTGCACAATTCCCATATCGTGGAGGTATTTGACTGCATCCAAAATCTGCTGAATGAGTTTGCTGGCATCTTTCTCTGTGTAAAAGCCCTTCTCTATGATGCGATCGAAGAGTTCCCCGCCAGACACCCTGCACAGAGAGGGAGACATTTGTTTATTAATGTGAAGACTTGAAGATGTATTTAAGGAGGCCAGAAGGGAGATATTAATTCAAAACTATTCTTTAATGGCAGGATAAACTGCATGAGTAATAATCTTATATATTAAGATAGAAAAGTGGAAGAAGGAATCCAAGCATAGAAAACCAAACACACTGTGATCAAGCACGAAGCCACTAGAGGGAGCCCTCATGCTGCACATCTACTGAAATAAAAGGGTGTGTTTCTTTTAACCTCTCTCTCTGTCTCTCACACAGATGGGGACTCATGAAAAAAAGATTTATAGAAGACATATGGACAGTTACACAGAAAATGACAAAAGAAAAGAAAAAAGAACAGAAGAGGGCATTGAGGAATGTTGCTGCAGAGTAACTGAGTATCACTGAACATTAAGAGTCTGTCACGGCTCAGTCAGGACAAAAAGATCCTTTACCTCAACATGACCACATCATTTCTATTCCCTCATGACGCAGCGTCGTTCCCTCATTAGTTTTACATCTCACTGAAGCGTGTTTTTAATGTTGATTCGTTAATATAAAACTGAAGAGGCACTGGGTGTCAAATGAAACCATGAACACAAATGTAAAGAAAATAATTTCCCCACTAATCCTTCTCTTTATAAAAGCACACCCCTATTTCTCAGATTTCCCACGAACTGTAACTCATTTGTGAATGATTGGTGTTTTCAGGAGGCTCTGGGTGAATAATGCTGATCCTCATCTCTTCTTTCTCAATCTCTCTCTCTCTCTCTCTCTCTCTCTCTGACATTTTAGGAGCTGAGGTGGGTGGGAGGCTGTCAGGCTGCAGGTGTGAGGGCAAACTCCCCACTGGTGTTCATGAGTAGGCATAGTACACTGTTTGCTTGTGTTTGTGTGTGTGTGTGTGTGCAGTTAATGGCGTGTGACATGCAGTGTGTGCGAGATGAAACACACAGCACACAAACCCTCACATATGTGAATACTCACAGTTGCATGACAAGGTAGAGGTGAGATTTACTCTCGAATATTTCCTCCAGAGACACGATGTTGGCGTGTTTAATCCTGTGAGAAGGGAGAGAAGAAGAAGATGAGTTGTTCATTTTATTCTTCTTCTAATGTTTTACCACAGTTTGTCTTGTCATTGCCATTGAACCATTGTGAAATCATACAGAGTAGATACATGGTTGTGCATGTACCCACCATGCAGCTTCATCCAGCAGTCACGTGTACTGTTTACAGCCTGTAGACGAGGCTACACTGTGTGGTGGCATGCAGCTTCTTAATTGGCTGAGCTCTGTGAGCTGCTGCCCCCTGAGACCGTGGGTGCATTGACAGGGGTGAGAAGGTGACTCCCCAGATCGAGATTGGAACTCCACAGGGTGCCTTTGACTCAGACTTTTCCACTCTTTTAGTGTGTGTTTAATTCACCCTGCGATGAATGTGACAGTTGAAAGGCAACACACAGCCACGTGTCTGAGCCCTACCTCGGGTACAGTGTGTGTCGGACTCAGCTCATGCTGGATTACAGCAATGAATCTGATCCAGATTGTAACAATGCAGGGACACCTTCATTCATCTGCTTAGAGATGGACCCAGTGAAGGATGAATGATGGATTAAACCTGCCCAGTGAGCAGACGCGTGTGAAACCAGCTCGAGCGTGCACTTTTCACACACAGTGAGAGAAGGTCAGATACATGGTGCAGCCGAGTCGCTGCGTTTGATATGGATTCCTGAGCAGGTGTGTTTGTGTGGGTGATGAGCACAGAGATGGTGGACGGTGGCCGTAGTGATTGTCAGAGGGCTGGTGAGTCATTTGCTAACCTCTGTCAGCACCCGTGGGTCTGTTAAGGCATCAGAGCCCAGATGTCGGCAAATTAGAGAACAATGGTGTCGACCCCGTAACATCTGTATCTGACGTGAAACAAATCTACTGATTCTTAAATCTATACTCTGTTGAGTATCTCTCATAATGACACACACATTAAATTATCCTTTTGAATAAGCCTAGCATTGTCTCAGATTTTTTATTACCAGTTTTTAGGTTCCGTGGAGGGAGAAGTGCTTTCTAAAATCTGGTTTCTATAAAATGTTTCTTCACACAAAAGAGATCATGCAAATTTTCCAGTCAGGAGAGATATATTCATAAACATCCAACAGAAACCTCCCTCAACCATATTAGAATGATGATTTACACTACATGTTGTTTAAGCTCAGGTTCACACAGGTGGTAGTAATATTACTTACTGCTCGTACAGAATGACATATTGTCACCATTCTCCGGATATTGAGTAAGAAGTTCCACAACTTCCTTCCTAAAAGGACTTAAGATGACTTTTTAAAAACTGAGCCAATAAGTTGACAAGAAATGTGTGGTGAAAAACACACAAATGATGTAAGAAATCAAACAGTTACTGGTTTCAAGAGAGTTATATGGTTAGTTATACCGTTTGAATCCTGAATAACTGTAATTACCTTGGTGAATTGGTTGGTACTCTCCAGCATCAACCAAAGTTAACAAGTGTCCTACAAACAGATGCAGCAAGAAATGTGGATTTGTTGTGTGTTGTAAAAACCTGGTGGAAGGAGCGGCAGGTGCTGTCTGAGCTACAGATTTATTTCAGTTGTCTCAGTTCTACTTTATTGTCCGGGGGAACTGGACATTGGAAAACATTGCTTTTTATTGAGCTGTCATAAATCATGATTTTCTGAAATGACTTCTTTGGCAAGCTCACAGTTTACTGAGATGGAACAACTTGACATTTCTAAAGTTTCAGAAATGTTTTTTCAGGTTTTCAAAAGCAGCAACTTCACATCAACTTCCCTAATTGGACACAGCTACACACGACTATAGCAGATTGAAGTTAGTCACTGGATTTGCACATCAGTGTTTGAGTAAATGTTTGGTCTAGATTCATGGGAGGAGAACAAGCAGCACGCAAATCAATGTGATGATATCACTTGGCTACATTTGTGCTTTATCAAGCCACCATTAGGCTGGGCAGCCATCTGATAGTAATCAGAACAGTCAGGGGGCTGAGGATCATCTGGCTCTGAATCTGTCCCAACACAAACGGAACCATCAGGTACTATACTTAAATACTTCATTGTCTCTGGCTGTTGTACTAAAATAACTGGCTGTGACTTTAAACCTTCAACTGGACCAAAAATTCCAAAGGGAGTAAATCATTTTTTTCATCTGATTCTGTCATGAACCAAAGAAAATAACCCTTTTTTAATTAAACATATTCAAAGAACCACTCAGACCCTGTCCCGCGCCGTGTATCGAGGAGGACTTGAGGATGATGTAATGAAACCTTCGTATGAGTCTGTTCGAACTTCACACAGAGCAAAAGAGGGCCACATTTTTCAGGCCCACTTTTCCTCAGTTTATTCCATTCGTCAAAACTGTATCCAAACTCCAAACTAACCCCCGCCTCTTTCATTCCACCACGCTCACCTCAGGAGGGATCATAGCTGTATATTGGCTTGAGTCGTGTGTGTGTCTCCTGTAACCCAGGCAACAAGAGCTCTAAAAATAACTTTGGACCCAATGTAGATCAGCCATTTTCACTGTGGCCTGTAATTCCCCCACATCTAAAGAGAAATAAGTTTGAAGTGCTCCACAATTACCAGCTGTGTTATTGTCACTTGCCTTTGTCTTAATATAATACAACATTAAATGCCCTGTGCAGGTGGAGAGAGAACCTTTGCAGTAGTTTTTATCAGTGTGATATGACTGCATATTACAGAAATAAGGGTTAAAGGTGCACAACTTCAAGTTTTAGGTCAGATTATACAACACCATGATCTCAGAAAGATAATATAAGTTTCCACTGGTCAAAACCCCACTCAATCAACATTCACTCCCAGGTCACATGACTCTGCAGTAGACAGAATGTGAAATAAACACAACATCTGGTGAATGTGCTAATTGATTCTTCTTTATTTTGGCAGTCTGATGCTGCTCCTTTTCTGACACAATGTTATGACGCATAAAAAGCCATGAATGTTTGTTTACTTTATTTTTATATCTTGGTAACAGAATGCAATATTTCTTTCATCGTATTATGCAAGATGCAACACTTGCAAGACAGCGCGATGATAGCGCACCTAAGTTTCTGGTGTGTTCATGACGTCGAACAACACAAGAAAGAAAAAAAAAAGGAGGCAAACCCCGTCACTGGCAATGGTCAAAGAGTCAATGGCCTTTTGATGGCAGGTTTCCCTGTGTTTAAAAAACTTGCATATACCTGTTCATTTTGGTATAAAAGACATTCAATTCTTGTTTATGGTAAAATTATGAGGCCAGTTCAGCCACATTACAAAAAAGAATCCCACATTTTATCGCCTAAATACAATGGAGGTGAGTAGTGTTGACAGGAACGTGACAGCTCTAACAATGATAATTAAAAACATCAGCAGTGACTTTGTCTCAAGGCTGATTAAAGTGAATTCACCATCACTGTACTACACATGAGGAAAATAAAACCAGCACTGACCACATGGACGAGACACTGACAGTGGTGTCCTGGCTCTCAAACTCTACCAAGTCTTTAGTGTTGGAGTATAAAGATCGAAACGCACAAGCATCTCTTATAGAGTTCAGATGACAAGTTAGATGAAGTATCAGAGCAGATTGTGTTACAAAAGTCATATATGACATGTATGATATCCAGTAATGTGATACAACATACTTGATGCAGTATCACCTTGTAGATAGTATTTCAGATGCAGGCTAATGTTGAACATTGTGGTTATCTTTTCACCCGCATTTGTTTTTTCAGCATCAGGAAAAACCACCAGAGCAGGTTTTCATGAACCTTGGTAGAAGGATGGGACCAAGCAAGAGCCCATGAAATGTTGGTGAAGATCCAGACAAAGATAAAGGAATATTTGTTTTGACATTTTCACAAATTTTCCAGGGGATAAGTAATGGATCTTGATGAAAATATTTAGATTTGTATCTATGAGTGTGTGAAATTCAATATGATTCCAAATAAAAACGTGGATCGAGTTGAGTTAAATGTGGGACTGTTGGGCCTTGGCAGAGGTGTTCTAGTTTTATATGTTACCATCATGTTACATTACAAAGAGATACAGGATCATTTATTTCTGAAGTCCACTTACTTGTGCAGGACAGCTATCTCGTTCTCAATGCTGTTTTCCTTGCCCTCTAACGCCTTCTTAGGGATACACTTGATAGCCACCAACCTCTGAGTCCTCTTCTCCTCGGCCAGGACCACCTCAGAGAACGCTCCCCTGAAACACAAACACACAGGTCAGCCTCACACACCCTTGTCATTTATCACTGCATGTGTGTAGGCACAGCTTTTCATGTGCATCTGTGACTTAGACAAAATAAACTCCTGCTCTGATATCTTGGCTTCTTACATGTAAGTGCTGGAAGAAGTTTGGTCTTTTGATGCCAGATAGTGTCTATTTTTAACTTCAGCCTCCCTCCACCTGAAGTCTTGAAGTCTGAAGGCTGCTGGTGAGTCAAATTTTGGACAGGCTACAAAGTGGCGGAATGATTTAGAAACACAGATATTAAATTTTATGTTTCTCTTAGGGACACATTTTGATGCCAGCCAAAAAGTGATTCAAATGTATGCATGTGTCTCCCTACCAAATAAAATCAAACATTTTAAAAAGTACAACAGCAGAACTCAAAGTAGTTGAATCATTTTTCCAATGACCAATTTAAAAGAGGCAGAAACTTTCTTTTTGCCAAAGCTGTACAAGGACTAGAATCATAGATTTTAAAATCAATATTATGTTAGGTTAGGATTAATAATACAACAGCAGAGACAGACTGTATGGAAAGTAATGAACATCTGTAAGACGGAACACTGTTTGTTAAAGGTAAGACACGCACAGACAAAACACACACTGGGATCTATGTACTCCATTTTCATATACACTTTTCATAATAGACCCTTGAGGCGTACAAGGCAAACAGAGAGCAAATAACCATTCAACTGTGTATATATATTTATATATAGATATCGATATATAGAGAGAGAGAGACATTCCAGTAATTAGAATCAATGGATAATATTTGTGTATCAAACAAACACTCAATGCTGTGTTCACGTCACCACAGAAGGATTTTGACGGAAGTTCACTCAAGATGAAAATAACACTGAGAAGTAGATATAGGACGTCCATATGTGTTTGCCTATCAGAAACTTCAATATTACTAAGTGTAAAGCTTGAATTATATCAGTTTTAATTGCACCTAACACAATGAAGTAAAAGCTATATACAAGTTAGACATTTGTAATTAAAATAACTGAGACACAACATGACTTGTGATCTCTCCGGATTCTTCAGTCTGAGTGAGTATACTTTCAAGGGAATTCTCTGTAATCCCCTCAGGGCAGAGCTAAAATGCGCTCCTACAGAACAGAAACCAAAACTCAAATTCCTTCATTCCTACGATTATCAGGCTATTGAACGCTGAGAGTCATCACAGAAAAGTTAGATACTTCTTTATTATCATGTATGTTAAACTTGCTGATGTCTGAAGTTGCTGCTATTTCTGTCTTTTTGAGTTTAATTTCTATGAATGGCAAGGCTGTGGAAATGATTTGTCCTCCTGGGATTAACAAAGTTGTCTGAATTTGAATCTGAATCAATGCAACATCGCACACTTTGTTAGTTTTTAGTTTCCAACATAGATGGATAATGTTTACAGAACTAAGTCTGAGGCACTGAAGATAAGTAACAATCTACAATGTGGAATAAACGAGTAAAACAAATGCTGCTACAACTGTCTGATATTTGTGCAATAAATATGATCAACATATCAGAAAATGTTCACAAGTTCATCAAAAATGAAGTTACCACTTCATTCTATAACCTTTGTTTTTCACATAAACTACACTGGATTGATAAACAACACGCTCTTATACTGAAATCAGCTTAAAGCTACAGTAACTATATTTTTCAGTTGAACTCCAAAGTTTGTAAGTGAACCTTTCAGAGCAAGCCACAGGCTGGGGTGGGTGCTTTAGGGTTTACTTATTCTGAGGAGAAAAACAGTTGAATGAATGCACTTCCTCAGGTTCTGCATCCTTCGCAGACACTACCTCAACGTGCACAAATGCATATTTTGGAACAGGCTTTATCTAATCAGTATAAATCAAAAGGCAGTCAGTATGTTGGCAGAGACAGACTGAGACGTGTCTGAACATGACTGGCGTCAGCTGACAGTTTGTGCTGTAGTTTCTCTGCAGCGAGTGGACAGTGAGGAACCACAACTATGACTGCAGAAGTATAACAAGGAAGGACTACAGATGTTAATGGAGACTGATGGCCTGTAGGAGGTGTGCTGATTACAAACCACAATAAGAGCCTGTCACCTGCAGCTCTATTTGTTATTCCTACCTTCATGATTAAAAACTTACCTGAAAAAATAGTCCAACATATGTCCATGTCTGGTTGATTAGATGTGTTCTATTTGAGAACAGCACTAATTCATTTCCACTAACCTGGTAAAGAACTATGTTAAAAAATGTTTTTGATTGCATTGGCGAGCACACAGGATAGAATATAAACTCAATATAAAATGATATATTAACACAACATTTTGAGACACACAGACAAAACACACACTGGGATATGCTTACTCTATTTTCATATACGCTTTTGGTAATAGACCCTTGAGGCGTACATGGCAAACAGAGAGCAAAGAACCATTTAACTGTGTATATATATTTATATATAGATCTCGATATGTAGAGAGAGATAGACGATCCAGTAATTAGAACCAATGTATAATATCTGTAAAAGACCCTTGAGGTGTACATGGCAAACAGAGAGCAAAGAACCATTTAACTGTGTATATATATTTATATATAGATATCGAGTTAACGGTAAAAACGGCTGATCTCTAAAAACAAACACATCACAGCATTAAAACTAAACTCCAAACCACAATGATCCAGGTGGGAGTTAAAAAAGCACTTTAATCTGAACACAAAGCTTTTTTTTCTGCAGTCTCCAGCAGAGACACAACTGATGTATCTGCTGAAGACATCGGTTCAGGAAGGAGACTATATCTGCTACCAAGCAGGACCGCTATCCCCTTGAGTGACGCTGTAGTCCAAATAAGATATCATTCGAGCTGGCTGATCTGCACTTTCTGACATGCAGATAAATGTACTTTTTAAAACAGCATCCTTTCATACATTTCATGAAATTCAATGTGCATGTATATAGTTACTTGAATTTTGCTAAATCAAATCATTGTGGGTGTCTCAAAATGTTGTGTTGCTGTATCAGTTTATATTCTATCCTTCAGTGCAGACTGTTTGTTTAAAATATACAGAATAAGCTCATGATCAGCTGCACATCAAGGAATCCCACAAATCCTACAAGTCAAGATGGATTGGCTCAATCCAGATGTGAAAGGTGTCACAGAGCAGTACCAAGAATGATGCTAAGAATGCTAAAGACAAAATTGGAAATAACATCTAACTTTGAAGTATTCAAAAAGCAAACTAAATCTCTGATCCAAAGTGACCTACATTCTGCATCTTTTGTCATTAACCTCAAAGCTCAGGTACACTGATCAAACTAGCAATTATCCTGGGAGTGAGGCCTTGTGGTCACATCTCAACAAGAAAGTAAAACTGCCACAGAAAGACCATTAGTTATGGCAGGAATCCAGCTGTGTGGAGGAGGTTGTCAGTGCTGCAAATTCCTCTGTCGCATCTGGGGGATTTAGTTGACATTCTCCATGCACCCAGTGACAGACCAAGGGGCTCTGGGGAAGCGTCAACAGTGGTTCACACAAACCCTGAGAAAAATCTGAGAACACTAATGTGTCTTTGATTACGGATACTCTTCGTATCTGCGTGTGCACTAGTTACTGTTGCATTTACAAAAAAAAGAGGTTATGACATGCTGTGTTTGCAGCTTGTTTTTAGCCATGTCTGCAAACTTAACGGAAATAAAGAACTTGTACAAACATAAGTGTCTATTTAAAATAACAGAAACAATTTTTGACGAAAATGTATTTGACTTCTACTTTCATTTATTAATTTGGTCCATATCCCATCCACTAACATGGAGGAGGCAGGATTTATGAACTATACTTCAGCCAACCACCAGGGGTGATCAAAGTAGCTTCACTTTTGGGGAGCTGTCATGTCCATCTTTAAATAAAGTCCATGGTCAGAGCAGACCAAATAACACTGTTGTAAGACCTCTGAGTGTATCAAATTTAAAGTGTACATTTTATTGCTGCCATTTATAGAAATAAAAATAATATTTAATTATTAGTATAAAGCTTACTTCAAATAAGACAAATTTTACAAATCGTGGACAATGCAAGACTGGTTTGCTTAGTTATTTTGTCAATGACTTTAATTTATAATAACAAGTCACTGTTTATCCAAGTGACACATTCTGAGATTAGAAAGATACTAAAAAGCTGAAAAGGAGGCAGAGGAGAATAAAGCTCATTTTTCATGTTTGATGGAAAGCTGAAACACTGCAGATGAAAATGATTAAACCCTGTCCTCTGTCTCCTACTGGCAGGAGACAGAGGACAGGGCTCCTACTCATCCAAATTCCTTTCTACAGACTGTCCCGTAGAAAGGAATTATACTTCTATTGTAAGTTATGCAAGAGGCATTAAGAAGATGGATGTTACCGAAAACGTTGTGCTACAACCTGCTCAATATGTCTTATCCAAATGACTTGATATCTTAGAAGAAAGCAAGGGCAAAACATACCTAAACTCAATTTTCTCTCTGAGGAAATATGAAGAGTAGGATTGTGATTACTATTTGATGGAAGTAGAGTCCTGTGGTGAGTTTGCTGATAGCTTAATGTTAGAAATGGTTTTGGATTATTCGCTTAACAACTGTGTTTACTGAGCAGTTCCTGTTCCTAACAGGACGTTCTTGTCACCAGTGGCAGGCCTGTGTCGAGAAAGAGGATACACACACAAACACACCCACACTCACACACACGCTACTGCACAGTTATTAGCCACTTAACACAATAGAGACACGCTCACTGCTACTATCCAAACAGTAAGGCGTGCTCACATTCACTGTGCAAATACTTGACACAAGTGTTTAAATATGGACGCAGCAACAACATTTAAATGTGGGGAGCCTCAAACAGAGTAAATATTTACATGAAATTGAGACAGCATGTACTTTAGTGGTCAACATTGTGCCTTTCTGTATGAAATCTGTATTCTGACCTTTCAGACCAGTTTCTGTCTCTGAACATTCAGACTT